TCCGTTGCCAGAGCTGTGTCAGCAGACGAGCAGACACTGCCCGCCTGTCGTTCAGATTTCTGCGGTGTGGTACGTGGGGTCTAAGATTTTTCCCTTGGGGCACAACCTAGGACAGATCTGCACGTGACTCATGGCGAGCCGTAGGGAGGGGATTGATTGGTTTGACTTCCTGACAGCGCTGGGGAGGACAGAGAGCCTGGGCGTCTGAAGACCTTGTCGCAGGACTTGCTGGAGTACAGGTAAACTTAAAATACTTTTAGCTTGTCGATGTGGGGATGTGCAAGTGGACCAGGAACTGTTCATACTTGAAACAAATAAAGGACAGTATAGGCAAGTCCTGTGCTTTGTACTACTGTGTAGATGTAGTGAGGTGCATCTCCCTAGCTAGAATGACAGAATGCTGAGAGATGCCCGAGTCTTCGGAGGCATCAGCGCTCCTTTGACTCGATATATTCATGAGGCTTTATTTTTCTTTACAAATTGCTTCCTTGTATCTTCAAAGTGATAAGTTTGAATTAAACATCGCAGAGTGCTTTTTATATAGCTGTGCCAACAACAGAGTGCAACTGGCATATTAAAAATGAGATAATGTGTTCTGGATAATACCAGAGTCAGGCTATTATTTAGTTTCTTGTATAGCTTGTGCTATCATCTGCATTTGTTTACAGCAAACTGCCTTCTTCAGTGCTTGGTAATAGTTTTTACATAGCATATAAAATGTGAAAGAGGAAGGAGAGCCAACAGCATACCTCGGTGCACACTAGATCATGTTATTGCTGTACTGAATAGCTCATCCCCACAAACTTCTCTCCTGTATTTGTCGTTGGGCACAACCACCACGGGAGGGAGCTTGGAAGCAAAGATCTGTTTCGTCCTAGCGATAGTCCTCAGTGGGGCTGTGCTCCGTCCCTGGAAATCAAACACGGTTCTTCACAGGTTGAAAACAGAAGAGAAACAGAAACAAAACAAAACAAAAAAAACCCAAAAAACAAACAAACAAAAAAAAATTACATTTCAGGACTTTGATAGCGTGGTGTGAGTATATCTTACATAGGACTTCAAAGGAAGTTTTGCACTTAATTTGTCTATTGGGTGTCAGGAATTGCAATCATATTTGGAGTCTTTTGTGCATAATTGAGGTTATTTATAATTTCCTACTCTGTTATTACATGTAGGTAATATTTACCCATTTACCTCAGCTGCTGAAGCTGAAATAAAAATATAGTCACAAGAATAAGGTTTGATATGCCTCTGTTTCCTTGAGCAACAGAAACTGTTACTAAAAAGAAAAAAAAAAAAATCAGGGCAAGTCAGGTGATTGACTCTTAATTTGGCTTAGTGCTTATACTCAGCTAAAACTATTTCTTTTATTATTATTGCAACTGGGTCCAGCAGCTGAAATGGCACCGTGCTTCTCGCCACGCCAGGGCCACGCTCGGCTCCCATACCCGTGCCCACAAGTTGCACTGAGCTCGGGTCTGCTGGCTTTGCAGGGATGCCTGCCTGCCGGAGAGCTGCCTGCACAGAACCGAACTGCTGCCCAAACCCCTGTACCTGTTCATCTTGTAATCCTCACCAGCCACCTGAACACCGATGCAAATGATTGTACAGCCAGCGTGTAATTGTGTCATCACCTGCACTGGAGCCACCCGGTGTGAAACTGTCAGACGATGCAATTTGTCTTTAAACTTGCCTTAACTTCCAGTCTAACACTAGGGGTGTTCACTTTCGCTCCTCCTGTCAGTGCTCACACACAGAAGCTCTCCCCTCCTGTCAGTCTCATCGTTTTGCAGACAAGTTATTAATGCTGATGAACACCAGGGTGGTGTCTGTGGAGCTGCTTTCAGTGAATTAGACTTGTGATGTTGCGTTGCCAGAAGTACAGCTCTCGGTGGGAATGTTAGCGAGATGAGGAGGCACCATGGTAGGATGGTTTGGGGTAGGATTGGGGCAGGCTGGAGAGGGAAGTGCTGCTGCACAATGTCACCTTCTGGTATCAAAACAAAACACCGATCAGAGAAGCCTTGCCCTGCAGCTGGAAGCTAATGTGCAAAACCCACCTGAACACAAAATAAAAAAAAATACAATAATTTCCATTTTCCCTGCAAGTTCTTATGAGTAATAAGTTTCAGCACGGTGATGTCAGACTATTTAGCTGATGTTTGGCAAGCAAAATTTGGTGGAAATGCAAATGTACCATTTTTATTATATTCAGTAAATAGAACAGTTCTGGGGCAGAAGTTTTTAGGACAGGACATGGCGAGTCAACTATAACTGTTGAGATATGCTCAAGATATAAATGTGACTTGTTAAGTCAAGGAAAAATGATAGCCATTGTTAAAGGTTAAAGTCAGGACCAAGTGTGCCCGGACTGTTCCTATCAGACGTGTCTGAGTCATCCCTGGCTTTTCCAGCCTGCTCCAGTATTTCTCCTGCCTCACAGTTTAAGGGTCTTTCTTAGGACCTAACTCAATCTTCCTTGAAATTTCCAGCAATTTCTTTGTTTTCCCCATAGCTTAGGAACACAGCCAATCCATCCTCCTGTATCAGGAGACTGCTGTTGTTGCCTCTTTCATCCCTTTAACAAACTCAATTCTTTCAGGCTTTGTTTTTTTTCTGAAAATACTTTTTGGAGGGCCTATTTTATAAAACATTTAAAGCAACTGGTATGTAAGTCAGGACCTCAGCTGAGAGTGAAACCATTCCTTTTGATGTAGCAGCGGGAATGTTGTAGGTACCCTAACCTGGAAAGAAATTTCCCTGTTTTTGCAGTACTGGTGCCATGCCTTGGACTTATTAAGCAGCTGACGATACTCCTCCCGTGTGCCTAGTGCTGTTCAGAAGGACTTTGGCTGTGCCTGAGCCTGCTCCCAGTGATGGCAGGCAAGGAGCTGTGTTACTCGCTGGCCCTGAGGTTGGGAGGGTTATGGCTGGGTGAGAAGTGAGTGTGGGTGTTCTCCCAGCAGCTCCAGCTGAGGAAGAGGTCTAATGTAAATATATGAAAGGCCACCACAGACCAAAGTCCCCCTAGGTGAGTCCCTGTCTCCAGCAGCTGCCAATAGCAAATGTGGCAAACAGGGTGAGTGCTCCTCCTCAGCAAGGAGCCGGGTGCAGTTTCTTGCCTTTTGGACTGTGGTATTTAAAATCCCCTGAAGCGTCTCTCTTCCATCACTTTCTCTAGCTGCCTGCTTTTCCTTTCCTCTAAACTGACTTTGAAGATAAGCATGACAAAGCTCATGGTACAGCAGCATGTAGGCCTGCAGCTGCAGTGATGCAAGGGGAGCATGTTACATCCCTTCTCTGCCAGAGTTTGCTCTCTCAGAGCCTGCTCCTCTCAGGAGTAACTTGGGGAGGGACTGGGGAGGTTTGGGGCATCTCCCTGCCCATCCCCAGGGCCTAAAGTGAGCCCTTTTGGAGGATGGTGGCTGAACTCGCTCGCTCTCTGCCCGCTGCTGGTGGCTCACCATTTCAGGAGGCTGCGTGGAGCGTAACCACAGTGACTCAGCTCTCTCTCAGATGTCCTGCATGCTACTGCTTCTGAGGTCAGCAGGGGAACAAATGGACAAACACTAAAGGCAAGTGTGAAAATTTTGCTTGGAAAAGGGGCAACAGGGTTTGGGAGGAAGGAGACTCCTTGTTTCTTGGTCTGCTCTGTCCATCCTGGCAAACACTGGGGTGTTTGAGAGTCTGAAGAAGACCCTGATTCAAGGCAGTATCATCCAGCCTCATACAGGATCGGATGCACTTGGTGGACTGATGTCCTTCCTGGGAGAGTTGGTGCAATGCAGGGTGGTGGTAGTAGGGTCCAGAGAACTAAAAACTCAAGGGATGAGCTGGCTGAGCAAGCAGCTCTGAAGCAGTACTCACTCCAACATGCTGCAGTAGCAGCAATAATCCCCTATGACAGTCCAGCGCCTGCCTGGCCCTACTCAGTGCACGTATTTCTGCAAACAGGGCATCCTGTCCAAACGCTGCCTTCATCCAGCTACTCAGTGAGGGGAAGGTCTGCTGGACAAGAGCAGTCTGAGCCGTCAGGCGCCTCATCATGGCCCCAGAGCTGAGGCAGAGAAGCAGCGCAAGTGCAAGCCCCAAGCACCCACCACCCCGTGGGGAGGCTGCACCCCGCAGCCTGGGCTGAGCCCCGGGGGGCTTCAAGGGCGCGCAGCTGGCTCTGGCACTCAGGGGATGAGCTAATGTGTGGGGTCACGGGCTTTTCAGGTGTCAAACAGGAACCAGGTTGTCTGAAAGGCTTGTGAGATTCACTGAACTGCCAAACCAGGGTACCAGCCAGGAATTAGCAGCAGGTCCTCCTCTGCCTCCCTGGGAAAGACTTCTACTTGGTTTCAAGTTCAGTTGGAAATATTCTCCAGTCTCCAGCGATGTACCTCAGCCCATCTGCCCAGCCCACACACATCTGCTCGGGACCTTATCTGCCCACCTCGTGGAGCAAGCACAGCTGCCAGCCAGCAGATCTTTTAGTGCACCTTAACCAGACCAGAGAAAAGGCGATGCTCACTGCCTCCCGACTTTGGCAGGGCAGCCACTCAGATCATCTTCTTCCCTGACCCAGCTGTACAAAGCATGGGCTCACTTTGCCCTCACATTTCTCACCACCAGCTGTAAAAGATCTGCGTCTACCTCAGCCTTATTAGTGCCACTCTTGCAGAGCTGCTGCACAGCCTTTCCCCTCTTAATAGACCCATAATCCACAGGGATGAAATCTCCTTTAATGCAATGGTGATATTTAAACCAGGGGAGGTATCAATATTTTTTTAAAAAACCCTTGGTTTTAGTCATTCAGTTCCTTTGCTCCAGCCTCCACTCCACATCTGTGACTGCAGCCTTCTCCATCCAGCTGAGAGGGAAATTATGTGTGCAAGAGGAGACAGGGCTCCCTTCCCAGCACACCGCTCATATCGTTAGGACTCCCGCGCCTGCCGCACGCTCAGCCACATGCTCAAGGATGCTGCACCTGAAAGTCCAGTTTCTGGATGACTCCCAGAAGATCTTTGTAGTCGATGTAAGTGGGTATCATATTTTTACTGGTGTTTTTGTGGTAATTATTGAAGTCATTGCTGTTCTCAAGGATTGCATGGTCTCTGATAGCTTCTGGTTTTTCAGATTAAAAACAAAAAAAAAAACCAACCAAACAAAAAAAAACCAAAGCAAAAAACCTCTAATCCAAAGCAAGAGGTTATAGCACTGATTGCTAAGTGTCTTTCAGCATCAACACATTCCTGCTCTTCCCTCTTATTGGCATTATTTCTAAAGAAGGAGGAATGGCTTTTGCATATATGGTGTCGTCTTTTGGAAATCAGCTAGTATGAATTGATGTTCTTGATAAACATCGAGTTCTTTTCTCATCTGTCTGGCTGCCGGTATAAGCATTTAACAAGGAAAGAAAATCGGGGAACAAAATAAACATAGAATATTTAACTAAATTACACCTGGTGAGAAACATCTGCATGCATCTCTTCCTGGGCATTCACCTGAAAAAAAGTGTGTGGGTTTGAGAATAACTGAGGAAAAAACTCACTATATCTTATTTTCTACATCACAGTGTCCCACAACACACCATCAATAATAACTGACATGTAATAAATGCTAGTTCTGAATATTGACTGCTGAAATAGATTTTAAATGCTAAGTATTAATGTTTATGGTGTTAGGTGTATATATATATATATATATATATATATGTATATAGATAACTGAAGCTAGATTTAAATTGTATCTTCACCACATGTTAGAAACAGACTTTTTTACAAGTGTGATTGAGCGTTTACTGTTGGTTAGGATTTGGTAATCACAGTAGCTAAATAAATTAGATAATTCAAGTAGATCTGTTTTAGCACTCATATAAATAGCTTTCTTTCAAGTTCTGCTATGTTACTCAGGCAGTTTTGCCCTCTGGTTTTATAGCATACCCTGAGAACCGCTCAGTCCCAGACACACTGCTCGGTTTCTTTGTGATAGCAGTTTTGCACAGAAGAGGACCGTAAAGCAATTCCATCACTTGGTACAGCATGGAATTTGTTTGATTTAGTTTAATTAATGGATCCTAGACCTAGAGTCAGCTTTAAAATGAGACTAGTCATTGAAAAATGCTTTTTTTCCGTATTGATAAGAACAGGACGTAGTAAGAGGCAATTTGAAAGATGCTGTTGGTACAATATTGCTGCATTTTTTTTCCATCTCTGCTTTCTTATTTGCCTAAAACACTTACAGCACTACAGCTCTGCATGACATGTTATTGCAGCAAACAGCTTCCATTAGAGGAATTCCTGGTCATTTCCTTTTTTAGCATGGAACTGCACTGGAAACCCCTTTCAGGCATTTCATGCATTTGATGCTGTATGGGTACAATAAATGAATAGTTGAATTAGTGACTTCTCCATTATAAAAGGATTGCTTTGGGCTAATTTTTGAGTAGCTATTTCAAGCAATTCTTCTTAAACCCCTCCTGACTTTGGAAAGCTCTTTTGAATGTGTGGCACTTCAGTGCAATGGGAGGGAAAAGGACAAAAGACAGAAAACACAGTGGGCCTGACTCCCCCTCTGCCTTGCGCTCGGCGTATGCATCTATACCTGCCTCACATGGGTATCACAGCTGCCAGCATGTGCAGCGAGGTCTCATTTCCCGCCTGGCTTTGCACAGGAATGAATTCCTCTCCCAGTGCTGGGTGCTGGCCTAGAAAGGCTTCTGCTTCCACCGGCATCCTCACCAACAGCTGGGACCTGTCAGCATCCCTGCGGCCACGGAGCTCCCAGGATTTCCTTTGGCTGGGCGCTGGAGGTGGTTCCTGGGATGGCACTGACAAGCCAGGTCTGAGCTCCCAGGGCAGCAGAAGGTGGGGGCCTGGCACATCTCCAACTGTCCCCTGTTGTGCCCTCCCTGCTGAACACCCCGGGGTTGAGCCATGTCACAGACAGGACCTTGCTGGGATGCCGCCAGCCGTGCCAGCGAGCCCTGCGCCTTGCAGTGGGAAGGCACCAGGATCCCCTGCCCCAGGGACAGTCACAGGTCAGCCTTTCATGGGTCTCTTGCACTGGGAGGAGATACTGCAAAGCCACCTCCCTTCTTCCTTCCACCCCTGGATACCCAGAGCTGTGACCTGGCATGTGCTCTCACCAGTAAAGTCACTCTTCTGTCTGGAAAGGGTTTAAACACAGCAGCCTTGAGCCTGGACAGAGACCTCCGAGCACATCACTGAAAGGATGAACCACTTTTCAGCCTGGGCGGATGAAGTCTGGGCATCCCTGCTAGTGGAATTTGCTACAGGGAAAGTTTCAGTAGGAAGGGAAAAAGAAAAGCGAACTGAACAAGCCCAGAAAAATTAATTGCTGGGGCTGAGTGAAGGACAACAAAGTCCCCCATGGTCTCGTGTCCCTTATGAGGAGTAAAGGTGGGAATTCATTCATTGGCAGGGGGTGTACAGAGCTGGCTGCACATGAGCTGGTCCAGCGAGGACACAGGGAGCATCGGGGCTGGTGAATTTTGGTGCCCAGCACTGCATGCCAGCTGCGGCCATGCAGAAGACACCAGCATGCCTGGCATGGGAGGCATCGCCAGGGTGGTGGGGAAAGATCACATCCAATCCCACGAGCTGTTGCTCCTCCCTAAACCACAGACCTGTGTGCAGCAGCCCACGCTTTGCCACTAGACCACTGGGAGTGCTGACAGAGTGTCCTTTGGGAACGGATATGTGTGTCCCTGTGTGTTGCATATGTTGCTGTCTGCCTCTGGATGTGCCTCTTGCTTTCTTACCCTGCTCACACTCCCAGCTGCTTTCAGTAAGGAGAAGAGGGGCAAGTGCAGCCTCTCCTTTCCACCTCCTTCTGCCTGCTAGTGCTAACCTGGCTCTACAACATCATCGAAGGCACATTTAGGGTCGACCATGGGGTGGCCAGCCCCACACGCCGTGCTCCTCCAGCACAGCACTCACTGCTCTCACCTGCTGCCATGCAGGGCTGATGCCCGAGCACATCCTTACCTGCACTTGTGGCAGCACGGGTTGGGGCCTTGGTACCCTACAAACCTGGGATGGGACACCTGCAAGCAGCACTCTGCGAGAGGAAAGGCTCTGCTCCCCAGCGAGCAGGTTTTCCTGCGGACAGAGCCGCTTGTCTCCCGCAGTGCCTGCCCTGGGCAGTGCTGGGCTTGGAGGAGAGCGGGTTGCTCCCAGCAGACATGTGGTGGGTAATAACTCAGTAAGAAATACTTGTCTTTCCTGGCTGCCTGACCTGGCTAGAAAATTCTAGCTTGGAAATAAACATTTATAATTGTTTTAATTACCCTTGTGATCTAGTAATTTTGAGGAGAACCGGGAGTGCTGTGGAGCGAACGCTGTTATTACGTTATCACTTTTCAGCAGCCTTTCAGCATGGAGCCAGCAATTTCATCCCAGGAGAAGCCATGAAAGGTGGTTATTAGTGTGCATCACTGCCAGCAGCTGGGGTCCCTCCCGTCCCTGTTGGGAGAAGCCGCTGCCACAGGGAGCTGGAGCCTGCCTTCACCTCCATCACCCGAAATGCTGTAATTTAGCAGCTGTCTAATCTGGCCTCTCTGCTCCAGCTTGCTTTTGCACTAACCCACGTTCATTTTTGGTCTGCTTTTCACCAGCTGATAAAGGAGTAGAAGGGTGGTTTTTTTTTCTGGGGTGAGTCACTGCCAGATTCATTTCTGGTGCTTTCTGGAATATTTTCCAAAGTCGGGGACCTCCCGGGTTGTTCCCCAGCTGTGTCGCACAGCACAGCAACAAGTCAAGCAAAACATGCTCCAAGTGTTTCTGTTTGCTGGGAATAGCTACAGCCTGGCTTCCCTCATCAGCGTGTAGTGCCACTTAATTAATATTGCTAAAGTGCACGGATGACCCGGGGCCCAAGGCGCAGGATCTCTGCAGAGTCCTGTTGCTGTTAATTACCATTAACCATAATAGTAGCTCATCCCCAGCAGTCCTGCTGCCGGCTGTCGGGGCACACGGGCTTGCTGTGCAGGTTTGAGGTGTGGGCCTGTTTGCTCTTCATCAAGCACGTTTGCCATGGCTGTCCCTGGGTCAGGCAGATGCTTGTCCCAGGGACCACTCGCTGGTTTGCCAGGGATAGAGCTGCCTGAACGGTGATGGTTGCAAAAGGTGAGCCAAAAGCAAGATCCCTTTTTCCTTTCTTTTCCTTTCTTTTCCTTTCTTTTTTCCTTTCTTTTTTCCTTTCTTTTTTCCTTTCTTTTTTCCTTTCTTTTTTCCTTTCTTTTTTCCTTTCTTTTTTCCTTTCTTTTCCTTTCTTTTCCCCCTTCTTTTCCTTTCTTTTCCCCCTTCTTTTCCTTTCTTTTCCCCCTTCTTTTCCTTTCTTTTTCCCCTTCTTTCCCCTTCTTTCCCCTTCTTTCCCCTTCTTTCCCCTTCTTTCCCCTTCTTTCCCCTTCTTTCCTCTTCCTTAATAAAGGAGAGAAGTGATGAGAAGGAATCTGATTTCCAAGAGCAGAGGTAAGGGACACTCAGTGTGCAGACCTGTCCCACATGCTGAAACCCGCAGCATTTATGGAGTAAGATTTTCAAAGTCAGGAGTCAGAAAAACCCCACAACTCCTCTCAGGGTGAAGGCAGGGAGCTAAAACTTTTCCCCCATTTCCCTGAAATCCCATCACCACTGCTGTCAGCATTGCCTGACCTGTTGTTTCTGTGGTGTGTTTGTTTCCTAGCAAAAATCCTGTGGGAAGGGGCTGTTCAACCTCACCTGCAGCCACCTCAACCTTGCAGAGAAGGAGTACTTTGGGCTGGAGTTTTGCAGCCAGGCTGGGAATCACGTGAGTGTGGGTCATGCTGCAGGGCCCCGGTGCTGCACCCTTGCACCAACAGCCCACATGGCTGGGGGCTGGCTAGCACCTCCCTGAAACACCAGATGGGAAATTTCAACGGAAAGGTTTGCCATGATGCCAAAAAAACATGGAAAATGGGCGCTACAAGGGGAGCCACAAGCTGGTTGTCAAAGGTCATGGGGTTTGTCTGTAACTGTCCACGTTACCCCCAACTGCCCAGCGGGATGTCTTGCTGTAGCAGCCGAGCTGGCCAACATTTCTGTGTTGCACTCTAGCATGCTGCTGCTGCTTTTATTCCCCCTGCCCCCCATGCTGTTTATTCACTCAGTGCTTCATTACCTTATTTCAGGTCTGGTTGGAACCACTAAAACCCATAACAAAGCAAGTTAAAAGTAAGTATTTCAAGACTGAAATTCTTCTTAATCACTACCAGTGACAGACTAGCGCAGACACACTTGTGTAGTGTTAGTGCCTGGGGACGGGGGCTCTGGTTTCCAGCATTTACCTGAGCTCATTTCATAGCATAGGGCTGGGTAGGATTGCTTGCAAAGACCCCATAGTCCATATAAAATTCTGTAGATACACCACTGCCTTTGAAGTCTGGTATCTGCACCATTTCAGGCCTGAGCTGTTACTAACCTGGCAGCTTGGCGGAGGAGCAGAGGCGGCTGCGTGCGTGCGTGTGCCCGCACTGCTGTGCTGGCAGAGCAGCGGGCACGGCTCCCTGCATGCCCTCCTTTCCCCTTTGCAGCCCTTAGCAGCCCAGACGCCTGCGCATCACGAGCCTGGCGTGAAGTGGGGTTAGCTATGTGCCTCGCAGGATCTCCTGCTCCTCTCCAGCCCCCAGCCCCCCCATGCTGCTGCACGGAGATGCTGCTGGAGCCTGACCTGAATTCAGGCTCAGCATCCCCTGCCGTGGCCGTGACCGATGTTAGCACAGTGCTCCTTTCAGCCTGTGCCTGTTTTCACTCCCACAATGAACCAAATGATGTTTTCTCCAAATACATGATGACTAGGAGGTGGTAGAGAACATGAGGCCACGACCCCAGTATTTGCCATGGGGCGGCTGCAGTGCAGTGTTTGCACAAATTTTCCTATAAGGAGAAAACCTGATGAAGAGCCTCCTTTCTGTGGGTGCACCAGAAGTGGGATTATTTCAGGCACCAATTTCTCTTTCCATGTCCCTTCTGACCTGTCCCTCCAAGAGCCCCTGAACCATCTCATGGTGCCATGGGACAGTCAGTGCCTACTGAACTGCCTCCGTGATCTTTGCCTTGGGCTTGGCTGCTTGCTCGCTCTCATCCCACAAAAAAAGCTTTGCCCAAACAGCCTCCTGTGGAGATGTTGCATCCCAAGGGCTTGGAGAGCAGAGTTTAATGCACAACCCTGCTGATGGCCACACTCCAGACAAGCACCCGTGGCACCACTCCACAGAAAGGCCCATCCTGGCAGGGGTCTTTGTAAATTAAAGAATTGCTGGGACATTTTCTCTTTAGTATTATTTAGATGTCCAGCTCCCTGTTTCCTTCCAGCAAGGGACTGAGCAGGCTGTTTTTTTGGGGGCAGGCTGCAGTCCCTGATATTCAGGGCTTCTGGCTCCGATTTGTAAGGGTACAGAGTAATTTACTATGTAAGGAGACAGCATGTGTGAAGAGAGTTGTAAATGTTCGCAATAGACATGTAAGAGAAAACTTATGAAGATGTTGTGTTTTAAGATCCTAAGGAGGTTCTTTTCAAATTTATGGTGAAATTTTTCCCAGTGGACCCCGGCCATCTGAGAGAAGAGCTGACCAGGTACAGTGCTTGTTCTATTACTTTTTTACTGCACAGTCCTGTATGTTTGCAATTGCAAAACATGCATTTAATTCCTCAACTCCATCCACCCAAACCTGTCTGTCAGCAGTTATCCTAAATATTGGAAGAACTCTGTACTTTACAAAACAAAAATCAAGAGATTATCTTTCCTGGATCCTCTGTTTTTAAACAAAATCCACTTGAAGGACCAGCCAGCCTAAAAGCCTGCAGTTTGTTTACTGCCAAATGCTTTAGCAGTTGGGCACCGAGTCTGATTTTTTGCTCAGTCTAGCTCCTTTCTCAAGCTGTGTTCTGAAAGAACTTTATTTTTTAAAATGACATTGTTAGCTCTAAGAGAAAGCATTGCAACAGGAACTAAGAATAAAACTAAGCCAGTGCTTCTGCAGAACATGAGCCCTGAGAAATGCAAATTCTCTCCAAAGCATAAAGGAATGTTAACTCTGAAACCTATTAATGGGCATTTTCCTGGCAGAGGCATATTGGTCATGGTGGTGCCCAGCTGCAGGGGCTGCACACTCCTCTCGTGACCCTGTGGGTCTGTATCCCTTGGGCTGAAACACGGGGTGAGGGCTGGGAGAGGCGCAGGGCAGCCAGCCCCTCTGCAGCAGAGCCCTCGCAGCTCAGCTCGGCGCCTGGCTCTCTGCTGAGCCCCGGCTCCCCCCAGGGCATCCTCCTGTCCCCCTCCACAGGTACCTCTTCACCCTCCAGATCAAGAAGGACCTGGCACTGGGGCGGCTGCCCTGCAGCGACAAGAGCGCTGCGCTGCTCGTCTCCCACCTGCTGCAGTGTAAGGGCGGGCGAGTGCCCCTTCGCTGGGGACAGGGTGCTCAGCGGGGCTTTGGCCGTGTGGCCAGGGGTTCCCCCTGCAGTCACACCTCGCAGCCTAACCCACACTCTCCCCACGTCACCCGCAGCCGAGCTGGGCGACTTCCACCAGGAGATGGACCAGCAGCACCTGGCGACCCACAGGTACCTGCCCAACCAGGAGTACCTGGACAACAAGATCATGCACTACCACCGGAGACACGGGTAAGGGCTGCTCCGCGCCACGGCTGCCCACCCAAAGCACCCAGTGGCGCCTGCCGACGGGGCTGTTCCCATTAGCAGGCAGGGCTGGTGGGTGTGATGCCAGCACGTGCACATCCAAAAGGGCATTTTTCCAGCCCATTTCAGCAGCCACCTTCTCACTTGTTGTTTCCTGATGTGTTTCTGTCTCCAAGTGGGAAGACGCCGGCCGAGTCGGATGTTCAGCTGCTGGATGTGGCCAGGAAGCTGGAGATGTACGGGATTCGCCCGCACCCTGCCAGCGACGGCGAGGGGACCCAGATCAACCTGGCCGTGACACACATGGGGGTGCTGGTCCTGCGGGTGAGCCTGGGGCTTGGGGCGGGCTGCCAGCACCCAGGTGGGGTGGCTTTTCCCCAAGGACATCACCTCCAGTTGGGGGGGAACCTCCTTCCCCCTGCATGCTCCAAACCCTCCCAGACGCTACAAGAGGGAGCGTGCCCCGGCAGATCCCGGGGCACAGAGGTGATGCTCCAGGGCATGGCTGCGGGGCTGGGCCCCACCGCCTCAGTCAGTGCCGGCTGCGTGCCACTGCACCTGCCCTGCCTCTGTTGGCTCTTGCCACGGCAAGCGCGGCCGTGCAAGCACCACAGGTTACACAGCTGTGTCACATGTGTTCACCGTATAATCTTCCAGCGAAAATAGCCACCTCAAGTCTGTGCAATTACATAACGCTGTAATCACAGCGTAGCAGCAGAATAAATACAGACTTGTCACAGCCGGCATGAAGCAGCGCTTGCCTCCCACACTGGCTAATTTCAATCTGGGAACATCTTGCCAGAGCAGAAAAAAAAAAAAAATCCTAACTGTGGGTCTGCTGCTCATGATTAGTGCTGCCAGACCTAGTTATTTATTCAGAGCTGTAAACACCCCTCATGCATGATTAGAGCATCTCTGAGCCCATTAAAATCTGAGTTCTCCCAGGAAGCTGAGGGGGTCTCAGTGCCACAGCATGGAGTAACTCAATTTTACATGGTCCTGCCATGACACGAGTGTTGTGTGGCTGTGTCTAAATTGATGCATAATGATAATGAGGGGTAAGGTCTGCTTGCAGCCTGCTTAAGCTAGGTCTGAAGGCATGGGAGTGAGTTGAGCTCTGCTACGCTTCTCAGCAAAGGAGAGGAGGGTCTGTCTTCTTTTGGGGGAGCTGATTCTGCCTCAACTCATGTGACGCTCAAGCTGGGACAGATGGGCCTCTCTGTCTTGACCTCTGCAAGGTTAGTTTTGGTATCTGGAGTCTTACAAATAGCTTCAGTAGGCAGAGTTAAGCCCTGAATCTCAATTCACACTTTCAAGACCAATGATGGTCAAACACCGAATCCTGGCACCCCTTCCCAGACCTTGGCAGCAGTGAGAGACACGTCAGGGTCTTGTGTAGTGTCTTACAAGCTCAGGTCTTGGCCCATCATATTTCTGCAATCCTCACTTGCCCCTTCCTGCTGTAACTGCTGTGTCTGTCCTTGCAGGGCAACACAAAGATCAACACGTTCAACTGGTCCAAAATTCGCAAACTAAGTTTCAAGAGGAAGCATTTTCTCATCAAGCTCCATGCAAACGTCTCTGTAAGTACTGTACTGCAGGCAGCTGCCAGGCTCAGGATCAGGCGGCTGTGGACAGAGGATCAGCCACACAAAGTCCCTGCTTTTGAATAAAATCCATTTTTTCTGCTCATGGGTGATTCTCCTTCCCCTCCTCAAGCATGTGCCACCTTTGTGTCCCCAGAGCTGCCAGCAGCCCAGTGTGACCCTTTGAGAGGTCAGGAGGCCAAATGGCTGAGCCTGGCCCCATGCCCCTGAGCCCAGCTTGTTTGTCTCTGGCTGTGCAGGACCTGTGCAAGGACACGCTGGAGTTCACCATGGCGAGCCGGGATACCTGCAAGACTTTCTGGAAGACGTGCGTGGAGTACCATGCCTTCTTCAGGCTGTCTGAAGAGCCCAAGTCAAAGCCCAAAGCCCTTCTGTGCAGCAAGGGCTCCAGTTTCCGCTACAGGTAAAGTCCAGGGGAAAAAAACTGAACATGAGGCCTGGAAAGGTGTGGGTATAGCTCAGAGCCCTCCTTTTATGTCGGACCTGGCTGGATGCAAGATGATGCCCGGCTGCTGATTTTCTTGGAGAGACCACTGCCTTGGTCCCGTCACATCCCCTCACCAACCCTGGGATGTGGGGATGCCCAGGACTGGGGCTGATGGTGCTGCTCACACCTCTCCCTCCTTGCTGCAGTGGGAGGACGCAGAGGCAGCTGCTGGAGCATGGGAGGAAGGCAAAGATGAAAAGCCTGCCCTTTGAGAGGTACCGGGGGCATGGAGAGGGATGGTGCACCGGCAGGAGGAGGGGGCACACACACCCTACTGCATACATACCCACCCATGCTCATGTCCCTGCAGGAAGCACTACACATCCCGCTATGATGAGAGGCAGTGCCGCTCCTCCCCAGACCTCCTGACAGACGTCTCCAAGCAGGTATTTTCCTTTGGCACCAGTGAGAGGTAGCGCCAGGGCTGGGGGGTGGGTCTTTGGCATTGTGCCCCCAGCTGGCAGAGCTCAGCTGGAGGCCAAGCCAGACCCTCGGCTCTGTGGGCTCACTGCTGGCCCTGATTTGCCCCCCTGCCTGGGCAGGGGGTCTGGGCACTCACCCACCCTCTGCTTCTGCTCAGGTGGAGGAGCTGCGGCTGGCCTATGGCAGCCGGGGCTCCTACCATGCCAACGGGGTGCACGCCTCCGAGCCCACGCTGGACAGCCAGCGCCGGAGCTCTGCCGTGGACGTGACGTTTGCTGCTGAGCTGGAGCGCTCCAAGCCCGAAGCGTTCCCCTCCTTCCTGCCCCACTCCAAAAGCTCATCTGCCTTCCCCCTGCTCTACGCTGAGCTGGAGCTGGAGCGAGCATGGGAGCCCACTGACCTCTTCAGCACCAGGAACCCCTTGACCTCCTTTCGGCCCCACCACCAGTTCGCTGGGAACAGTAAAAGCAACTCGGTGGGCAACATGCGGGAGGTGAGCGCCCGGCCGCTGGTGTACACGGACGTGCCGTGTCCCCCATCCCTGGGCACCCCGGTCCCGCAGGTCCTCTTCTACCTGGACAAGCCCCCGTGTCATGCACTGGCAGCTGGTGAGAACACAGCCAGTGGATGCAGTCCTGCAGCTGCAAAACCCCTCAGGCGGAGCCCAAGCGGGACCCGGGCCGGGGAGTTTAATCACGAGGCTCCGTGCATGGCAACAGGCGCGAGTGTGGCCCCAGCAGGAGAGAGCAGGTTGCTGGCTCGCTCCTTCGATTATGGCCTTCAGGAGCAGCCTCCCAAGAGGTCTTGGAGCCAGTCGGACATGAAAACCATCCGCTTCCCCTACGGCTCTGAGTTCAGGCCCCTGGGGCCACGTCCCGCGCTGAGCAGCCACAAAGTGGGCGTCTTTCGGCACATGCCGGCCCTGCACGGGCTGACGTCAGGGCCACGGTGCTCCGCCGAGCGCTATGTGGGCAGCAGCACCGAGTCCAGCGACTCCGACTCTGACCTCCTGGGCACCGACTCCTGCTCCCTGTACGGCCGCATGCTGCGCTCGCCCATGGCCCGGGTGCGGCTGTCCTCTGGCAGCCTCCAGCTGGATGAAGAGGATGAGGAGGTGTCTTTTGCCACTGGCGCTGCTGAAGAGAGGACTTCTAGGGGGGCCTCCAGGTATTTCACCTAGGTGCCTGACACTTGCTGGAGGGAGCAGAGCTGGCCAGTACTGACCTGGGGCTGCAGAAGGGCGATGCTCTTGCTTGCAGGGCTGCTTACTGCTCGCGAAATGTTGATGGGCTTGTGTTGTGCGTGCTCTTAGCTATAGAGGATGTGCTAATGGACAAGGCAGCGTTCAGAGGTACTCATGCCCTGCACCACATTTGGAAGCTGGTGCATCTCTGCCATGACACGGGGGGGTCCTGCTCCAGCCAGAGGGGCCAGGGTGCTCCTAAAGCCCTGCAGAGACTCTGTGTCCTGCCCAAGCTGGTGGCTGCTGGTCATGCTTGGAGCTCAGCTGCTGGTCTTCATCGGGAGGAGGAAGGAAAAGAAAAAACATCTGATTTTTTTCAAAGCTGCAGGGAAGTACACTGGTGGGAAGGAGGCCCATTTGGAGAGGAGCAAATGGCCAGGGGAGGCTGGTCCCGGAGCTGAGCCCCATGGACACAGCCACAATGGCCCAGCATGGAACCTGACTCCTCCATCCTGCTCCTCCTCCCTCCCACACTGCAGGGAGTGCCTGGCCCTCAAGGACAAGGTTGCATGTGTGGGGTGTTCCTTGAGATGCTTGGAGCCACAGAAGAAGCAAACTGCTCTATCTTCTCCCTGGCCAGATTAAAGCAACATCCTTCCCTAAGCAACATCTCCACGGTGCTTGTAAATCATTTAGCAGCATCCCAGAGTGAGCTTTGGGAAGTGGGTTAATGAGTGATATTGTATAGCTTCTGACAGCACCTCCACAGCCCTGGTACCTCAGTACCCTGGTTAAATCTGGAGGAGCAAAGTATGTAAGGGGGTCCTTTGCTCCCTGAAATCAGGCCTCAGGCGGCATAGGGGAAAAAAGATCTCGGGAGAGGGTAGGAAAGAAAGATGCAGCTGGTGTTCACCCTTGGCATTAGAAGTCTGGTCTAACCATGGAGCTTTGAAACTTTCCTGATTGCTACATGAGTGTAACGTTATTTTTACCAGGGCTGTTTCTAGCTATAAAGAAAGAGCAGGAGATGCTCATCATCCATGGGGCAGCAGGAAGGAATTCCTGACTTACCCATTGCTCCCTTGAAAAGGTATTGTTGGAAGTATTTTTGTTACAAAAACTTATTTCTACCCTAAACCTACATGAAATCTACCCAGAAACTCGGGGAATGATGACACCTCTGTAAGATTTTAGGGGAGGATCTCATTACTTTAAGAACAACCTTGTAAGTATCTGCAAGATGTGACTGTAAGACAGCCCAGTAAATCCACAGCTGAGAAACCACTGCAACCTGCTAGAATGGATTTCAGAAATACAGAAGCCGGAACAAAGACAGAAAATAGGTTAAAATGTAAAAAGAATTGGGCTTATGGGTACTGCTCACTCTGCACATCGCTGTCCTTTGTTTTAGAAGCTGGACAATAAAAATCAGTTGTTCACACCAGAATCTTGGTTTCTCCTTCTGCCCTATGAAATCTGCACCCCACAGCTGCCTGTCTGGCTCCCTCTGTGCCTCCACTGCCTCAGCTACTGGGGAGATTCACTGAGATGAAATCATTTAGGTTGAAAAAGACCTTTAAGATCAATGGAGTCCTACTGCCAACCTAGCACTGCCAAGTCCACCACTAAACCATATCCCTAAGCACCATATCCCTGCATGCTGCTGGAAACAACCACATTCTTGGTAGCTTGCCCAAAGATATGCATTTGATCAACAAGCGAGCACACTGTAAGGGTTTGCTTTTGCTCTTGGTTACCCTGTGCTGAATAAGCTGTGAACTACAGGACCCCATATGCTGCTCTGGCAAACATTTTATTAAAAAAGGGATAATCTTTCTGGTTATAGAGAGTTGTTTCTTCTCTTTCCCAAAGCTCTGCACCTTGGAAAGAGCGAGAACCACCCCTCACAGCATGTAAGTATGGCAGTCTATATGCATGACTGGTAAGAGGGGGGAAAAAGCAGCAGTTTCAAAGACAGACTGCACACAGAGCCCTCGGAGAATGCTCCTTAAAGGGTTACACCTTAAGCACAGAGGCAAAAATCTACAATCACTGTTAGCTCCTGAAAGCAGGTGGAGACACAGGTAAAGGCTGGGTGAGCTTTACCTCGAGCATGTCCCATGGCGGGGGGGAGGGATCAACGTACAGCCACACTGCCCACATCTCCAGCAGCTGCCAGCTCTGGCATCCAGTACTCTGCTGGGAAAACAGCGTCGGGAAGGAGAAACAAGGACTTGGGAACTATTTTTGGATTTTTCTATTGACTAGAGAGCAGTGGGACACGGTATGTGCACTGTGCCTTAGCACATCCTACATGATGGTCAACAATAGCAGAGGAACAAAGCAGCTTGTGACAGAAATTAACATCTCCAACCTAAATTCATTGCATAAACTAGCTTTCTTGGGACCGACTAAAATAGAGGAACAATCCCAGTAAGTGGGAAAGTGTCAAAGAACAATTGAAACAACACTTCAGTAAGCCCTTCCCATGGTCCCTGCTCAGCTCTATTCACACAAAACGGTAAGAACATCTATTTAAGTGACTGTGTTTCACGGGGGAAGAACAAGGATGGAGAGAGGACATGAAATGTTTTGGTCTGCTGACAGTGACAGACAGCAGTACCCAGAAAGGGTGAACTTTTAGAGCCCTTCCACCAAGCAAGGATTATTAAAGGGGGAGGAGGCAGAGGAGCATTACAGCATCAAAACATTAAGCTGCAAAATGCATTTGGACTGAAGTAAGTGGGGTTCATATAAAATATATCACTTATAGATAAAGCTAATCTTGAAATTCAGATGCACAACGTTCAGCAACTTTTTAGGTAGAGTGTATATGTTAGGCTATAAAAAGAAGCAAAACGTATAGTGTGTACAAAGAACTTCAGGTTGGAGAAACACTAAGACAGGTGTCAGTGTATTTACCTCATCTCTGGATTAGGTGTTACTTCATTTATTGGAAAAATGTGAAGACAAGTCGACATACATACCACTAAAACTCTGCAAAGAGGAAAATAATTTTATTCCAGTGTTAAGTCATAAAACAGTGTGATAAAAATCAGACCTTTAGCAATTGCTAAACCTTGTGCAAACACATTAAGAGCCTATGTACTTTCCTATTCAGCTACAGACATTCGATTGAATGCAAGAACAGGTGTTTACGATACTACATGCTTACTGTACAGAAGTGTACTAGAGGAGTCAGAGACCAAGGGTTTTAAGAATGGTTACATTGATAAAGGACTCATCTACCCGAGAACAAATACATTTCTCTAATTCTGCGATTCAGACTACTTTGATAAGACTACTTCAATATCAATTCTTCTCAATCTGCAGTGGGAAGCCTAGCAAACCAAACAAGCAAGAAGATGGTTCCTGCATGAATATTTTGATATATCTTTCCATTAGCTATCTGCCAGCAACAGAATACTGCCGATTAAGTTACACAGTTCATCAATAACTAACACATGGTGGGGAAAAATACAACTGTTCTCTGGAAACCAGCAATACAGACATCCATTCCAATGAGTTATTAAAGTCTTACGATGCACAGAGACTTTAGGCGCAGAAATGCCATAGGCAGTACAATAAAATAAACCTTCTCGAATGGACTGTGCTATAAAAGAACAAGGCTGTATTATACACACGTGGATGAGTTTTCCCCCCACACTGTCCTATGAGGTAGGTATAGATCCCACCCATTTAGCAGGGAAAGAAGAGGCACCATAATTCAGCAACTTGTCACAGTCAGATCACAAACAAGACAGGTTCCAATTCCTCAACTAATCTACTAAGCCCACCTACCCAGAATCATTTATAGAGTTGCATAGATTAAAGACCCTGTGTCAACACGGCAGAGCCACCAGTTAAAAAAATTCAGGAGGAATTCCCATCACCTCTTCCCTGGTCTCCCACATAAAAAGAACACCTTTAGGGAAGTGACATGGAAGTAAAAACAGGTTTTTAATTCTGAGAAATTTGTATAGAGCTCTTTAAAATGAGATTTGGGTTGAGACTGCTGAAGTGAAAGCCGAGGTAACTGTGGCACAGGCCTTTTTGTACCTTCACTCCACAGTGCTGAGTTCACAATGAAGTCAGAGTGTTCTGACATCTCTACCATGTTGTTGGCGTGCGTGTTCATCTGAGCACACAGATCCAGAAGACTCCTCTTTAGGGATGGAATCAAACTGAACCCTGGGGCTGCTCCATCCGTTCCCTGTGGCGCAGCAGCTGGTAGGTGTCCTCCGGACAAGAACAGCACGGGGGGGGACCCAAACCTTTTCAAAGCAACCATGCAATTCTGTGCAAGGAACACCCTTCTTGAACTAGAACACAAGTTTGTAAGAGGTATAGCCACACCTCTGCACATCTACTAACATCCAGAATAAAATGCACAACAGAACAAGCTCATGAAAGTTTACAGAACTTAAATATTTATTTTTAAACCATTTAAAACCCCCCAAAACATTGAAATAAGCTTCATCTATAAACAGATTTACAAGACTAACAACTACAGAAGCTAGAGGAGCACTACAATTTGTTTCTGTGATGCAGTTATTTTGTAAAGCTTCAGATCAACTGTATTTACAACTTTTGCTGCTTTTACATTTATAAAAATATTTATTTAATCCATAACATTATTGTTTTCAAAAACTATTTCCAGACTTTTTTCTCAGATATAAATTCTAATTGAATTTCAGTTATATAGCAGATGAAAGTTTTAAACAGAAACATTTTTTTAAAATTAAAACAAGGAGTTAAAAGTAATTTTTTTACAGTGTAGGCACCATTGAAAATAATTGTCCTTGGCATATCTAACCAACCATCTCTCACAAGTGTCCTTTATATAAAAATGATGTAATGGCAACATTTGACTAAAAATGCAGTATTTACTTGCACACCATTACTTTTTCAATATTTGGCAGATATATTTCAGATTCTTTAAAATGACTTTTGTGCAAAAACAAAATGTGCAGGTCTGAACCATAAAATAAACACACCCAGCCTTTATCAAAAATAAATTTACACCAACAGTTCCATAGCTAAGTACTGAAAAACAATCCCAGTTCAAAACTTCAGCGTAATATACATACTGGGTTGAAAAAGGGAAAAAAAACAGAAGAGAAGATATTACCCATCTAGCAGTACCATAAATATATAACTGAAAGCAACTTTATAGTCTTACCTAGTTTTTATGAAAAAAAAAATTCACTCCGTACTGCACAGTACTACCTTTTTGTGAAAGAATATCTATAACTCAGTTATTTGCATATTAACTGGTAAATACATATTTAAAATACACTTTCAGAAAATTATAAACAAATTATGTTGATGTACTGTATTTAATGTATTTAAGAACAAAAATGCGTATAAATATCTTACAGGAGAAACAACACCACCACACAGAACGCTGGTGTTACACTTATACCTGCTTGTGAGGTATGTATCATGCGACGCTCGGCTTCTCTGGCTCCCTTCCACCCAGGCATGTATACTCAGAGGAAAAAAATTAAATTAAGTTAAATTGGACTTCAGGTTTTGTCCATTATTGCCAAAAGCCCCACCCCCTCAACTGTATTGCTCTAAATTTTCTTACCATGATGATATAAGATTGAATTACTACTTCAAAACCTGTTCTAAAAGGTAATACATATACTGTACATCAGGATATACCTGTTGCTACATATCACCTGCAAACTATTGACATATTGCTCTCAAATATATTTAATCATAGAGCTGCCTAAAATACTGTACCAATTTAGAATTATAATAGATACTGTTGCAGGTTTATTTTTCAGGGCACGATAACTATATGCTGGTTGAAGCAGGTGCTACAGCAATACCCTTGCCACTACATTACATGTTTCGAATACGCTTGTGAAAAAGCTATTTTCTCTGAAGCTTGTTAGTGATTTACAAAAGTTTAACTCAGGAATACAAAAGACCTGTACATCCCCATGTACAGGAACAAAACAGCATCAAAACATACTGTACTTGCACTTTCTATTAACTAAAGTAATGGTTATTTCTAAAAGCAAAACTGCACCTCAACATTTATCAGATTAAACAGGTGAAACTACAATATTAAAAGTTGTTCTTTACAAAATAATTTCCTGAAAATATAAAACCATGTGCACTGCCACAAAATAGTTGAGTAGGTTCTTTCAAATCCTCAATCACCATCAATATGTTGCAAAGATCCAAAAGGCACAAGGAGCTCATGAGCTAAGCACTGCCAAGCTTGAAGTAGTTTTGGTGGGTTTCACTGGGTCCATACGAAACAGCAGTCAATTATGTGAAGTTTCTTAGGATGAGTCATTAACAGAAAATCTACAGATAAAAAAAATGCAAGTAAGAATTTTGTTAATTATATTGTTTTATCTTGGCAAACAGCCCATAACTATTTTTCCATCACTAAACTAGCAAGTGCCTTCCTCTCAACAGTTCATAGGAAAAACACACCAGAAGGGACATTCTCAAGAAAAATATTCCCTAGAAAGATACATTAAAGATTGTTCTGCTCCCTTACTGGCTATAAATATGCTTATGACAAAACTGCAGGCTAAATAAAAAGAATCAGTCTAACAACTATAGTAAAACTGCAGCAGTAAAAGACCAAACAGATACAGTAATTGCTACTATTAGTCTCAAACAGAAGTGGTATGTATAACTACCAAAGCTAAAAGTTTAAAGCACTGGACATAGCAGATCTTTCACTTATCGCTAAACTGGTCAATTTACCCAACATATGAAGTTCAGTGTCAACTAACTTTTCCTGTGGAAAAGTACTTAATTTAGAATTTGTCTTTGAAAAGAAGCTTTTTTTTTTTTTTTAAACAATGTATACAAAAAATTTCTTAACTTACTTCTGAAATTTCTCCATAAGTTTCTTCACCATCTTATCTGTGATCCCTGGACATGTTGCTTCTGCCATATTGATGCTTTTCTCAAGTTCCTCAATTGCTTTCTTCCTGCTAGCATTATTTGTGTCCTGCTGTTTGAGCTGAGTAGCAAACCAAAACAGAAAAAACTTATAAAAATGATCAGACACTTGTGTAATACTTTCAAAGCAGTTTAAGTCAAGACTCACCTCAGCAAACACAGGTGTGATTATCATAGTTAAACAACTCAGGGTTTTAACAAGATCCTGATCCTAAAAGTTAACAAATAAGGATGACATTAGCATATTCCTATACCATGTATACTCTTGCATTTAACACAGCACATGTGATTTTCAAAAGTTCAGTTAAATTCAACAAACTGCTTTGAAATACATTACAAAACTAGTGAAGGCACAGTACATCAACAATTGTTACATGATATTGAAATAGATGCCTGATGACACACCTGAAAATGCCAGATATATCGTCAGAAAAACAGTTCAGTTTTTCATCTCAAATATTATATGAGTCTTTAAAATTCACATCTCCATGAACAGATACTGGTCTATTAGCATGCAGTAACTTTTGCATTTAAGACTGACATGAGCATATAAAATATCACTAAGCATCATCTCTCGAACAACAAAAGGACAGTCAGTTCTCAGGAAAAGCGAGTAACTGCTAAGTTACCACCATTTTCCTTAAAATTGGCTTCAAACTCAGCACTCAAAAGGAGAACTCCTCAGACTGTACATACCGTCCCATTCTGTAGCTTCTTTGCATCTGGCTTCTTTCGAACTGTAGTAAAGCTCCACTCAGGATGAGAGTTATTTTCTTTGTTACTGGACTCCCTGAGGAAAAAGGATACGATGTACATAATACTAGACACAACATAATGCTAAGCAAGCACAGGTAACCCACACACATAATAAAGCTATATGGATTAGCTCCGTATTCCTTAAAATCAAAAGAAAAATTTGTACTGAAACATTAGCTGTAATTTAAAACTTTAAAAACACCTTCAGAAGCTAAATAAACTGAAATATGATCAAAACAAACAGATGTTATCTACCCATAAAGCTTACCTTCTCCCATGGCATCCCATTTAGAACAGTTATCTGATATCCAGAAAAGCAAGAGACTTACAGAATGTATGTTGTTCCACAGGCATTGTGCAAACTTCTTCATACACCTCAACCATGCTCTGCAATATTCCTATTTGTGATTCATTGTTTTAGGTATAACCACTAGCCTCAGACTAGGAAATACATAGCACTTAAACAGAACTGAAAATGAGTTCAGAGATAAAAAGTTTAAGAGATAATGAGCGCACAGCTTGACTTATGTGTTAGTCTTTAGGTTCATATACGGGATTTTCTTGAAAGAAGCCAATGAAAAAATATAGAAGACAGACAGATGTACAGAAGAGGAATTACACAGAGAAACTGCAACAAACCTACTTTAGTAACATTATTTAAAAAAAAAACACACAAACCCAAAAGAGAGGAAACTGAAAATAAACTTACGAATCTGAACCATCGGAATCACTTTCATCACTACTATGTCCCTCTGCTTTCCATCTCTTAAACCTATCAATCAGTTCTGTCAGATACGAAGTCTTCTTGGCATTTTTCATAATGAATTTGTGCTTCAGAAGTTCTTTTGCAGTAGGGCGCTGTAAGAAACACTTCAAATATTTAATGTTATGCTAACACTTAATCATTTTAAATGTTAATAGGGAAGATATAGTAAGACAACTGACTTCTGGAGCTACCTCATACAGCAGCAGGAAATAAGTGAAACAGGAAGTGAAGAAAAGCCAGTAATCCACATTTACAAGCACTCTAAAAATATGATCAAGTCACACACAGACTATACTGCTTATCCTTCTATGCAAGAAGGTACACACCCAGGAAAATGACTAATCAAAATTCTCCAATGCAACATTTCCTTGTAAGCAGAATTCAGACAGACAGCAAAAGTTCTGCTGGAAAAAAAATCTAAGACTCTCTCCTCTGTTAAAGCTTCTCTTCTGACATTCTAGGTTTTAGTGCATTTTAGGAAGCTGCCTCTGCCACCACCATCTCTTTCAGCATTCTCCCTCCTTTTAGTACTTTAAACAAACAAACAAAAAAGACTAGGATGGAGACACAGCTAATAAAAACCACCATCACCATTTACAGTGGAAAGTACAGTTTCTAAAATTATTTCAATCAACTGTGCTGCATTACACCAGCAAAATGCTTCACAAGCAGGAGACGATAGAAAACAAAACCAAAACATCTGTATACACACACACACACACACACACATATATCTACTCACAAATGTTGGGTCCTTATTCAGACATGCATCAATGAATTCTTTAAAAGGTTTGCTGAATTCTCCTAATAAAGTTGGAGGATTGTTTTTCGGAATGAGAAACAGAACTCTCATCGGATGCATATCAGAGTTGGGAGGCTCCCCTTTGGCTAGTTCAATAGCAGTGATTCCCAATGACCAGATGTCAGCCTGAGAAAGGGAAAAGTTACTTTTAGTAAAAAATGAAGGGCTATGATGACTAAGTATTTAATAACTGAAATCTTCACATATACTGCATCTGTATAATAAAATTAATTTTGGTCTAAGTAGATAACGCACAAAGATTCCTTTCTAATACTTGCAGGATATAATTCCCAAAGATCTGGCTAACTTGGTCTTTAGTGACAAACATCTAAACCATCACTTTTGCTGCACACTGCCACTGTTGCAACACTGACAGCAACTTAAACATGCACTTAAATAAACATGCTTTTGGAATAGCTTCAGAAACATTAACCTTCCTTTGATTTTTTTTCTATATAATGAACTATGAACTGCCACAAATTTCCTACATCTGATTCAGATTTTGTTTAGATATCAAAACTGCACACCGGTGTCACTTTTTATACTGTAGATGCACTGAGGAATCCAACCTTCTTTGACACCTCACTCTAAAGGAACAAGGCAGAGAGCTGAATCAAATCCAGCAGGTGATCACTCCTTCCTAACAGACTGCTGGATGAATTTAGCTAGATATTATCAACAACTAGTTAGACCTGAAACACCAAGTTCACAGTGTAAGTTTCTGAATAATGATGAAGTGGTATTTGTTTTAGTTAAAGGTAAGCACTATAAAAAAATTCTGTCTTTGCATCAAAATATCTTATGAACTACAAAATTATTTTCCAATTTAGAGATTTTTCCCAAGTGAAATAAACATTACTTGCATATTTTTAGATGAGCTACCATAGCTACTAAGGTCATTAAAGGTGTTTCTCGTTAAAAAGTGGCTGGCACTGTTTGACTACACTTGGCACCAAAGTCATAAACCAAAGTTTCCCATAGAGTAAACAAAGGTTATGATTTGTATCTCAGCAATATTCCTCCATTATTCTTAAGAACTAAAATACCTGCACTTAATATTGAAATATTAAGCTTACTTAGCTCATTATTTACTACTGAAATATCATAACCAGTAATTTTATATTGGAGCAAAATGTTTTGAAAGAGATAGGGCTTGTACATCTCTGTCACTACAAAAATGTACGAATTTCTATTTTAATTTTCTGTCATTTTGAAGTAGAGAGAGAATGCAAAAGTTTAAAATTCAGTCCAGATGTCAAAATATTCATCAGTATTAGTCTAGAAATTGAAGTCAAAATATTCATCAGTATTAGTCTAGAAATTGAAGTGTATCCTGTCCAAAACCCTTAACCTTGTCCTACCAAAGGCTTGCATCTTCTGTCATTTCCCACCTGACTTTTGGCATAGAAAGAAAAGGGAGAGGGCACGGCTCTTGCAACATACTAAAGAGACATAGAAGGCAGAAGATTAGGTTGCTGGGAGAATGTTGTACAGCTGATTTTTACACAAAGCAAGGAAAATAGGAATTATCCTCACTTCAACTGGACAACACACATTTTTAAAGCAGGGTAGAGTGCTTTTCCAAAATGCCTCAGGGAGCAGTTGCACCACTGAAACCCTAAACATGAGAACTATAACATACTCCTCCTTATCAGAAAGAACCCTTGTGACATGTACACAAATTCTTTCAAGTCTGAATGATCCTGGGAAAGTCTCCTGGAGTGTGAATATCTTCAAGACATCTCAGATATTCAACAGTCTTTTCTTTATGTGCACAAGTACACTTACATGTTTACTATTTGCATGTACCAAGATTTTTAGATTTCTTGCTCCTCTTTAAGGCTGCATCTACAGAGTGAGGAAAGTCCAATTCCAGCACCAAAGTGCACTGCCATTTCACTAACCACATGCTCTAGGTCATCCTGTGGGTATACTCGTGGAAGAGGGGACTGTTCTCTCCTTATCATTTTCAGCAGCAGTTCCCAACCCTCAGAAAAACACGGAGGAGATCTGCTTTCCTACTGCTAGTTCACATAGGGAAACTCTCCTTTGTCATCCATCAACAGCTCCCATGACAAAGAAATGGACAAGGCACCATAATGCTACCACAACTACCCATCCTGTAGTTGAAATTACAATTTTCCTTCTCAAGATCAGTCACACCTGTGCTAAAATCTTCAGCATTACCCAGGTCCTCAGAAATACCATTAAAGAAATTATATCCAGAGCTGTTTATGCATATCCGAGGGTAAAATTTCAGCCACAATCTTAAATAAGCTTGTAAATTCTGGTGGCATTTTAATTTGTGAGAGCTTTATTACTGTTTGAATTAAATGAGAAATGTTGAACTGAAATTAAAAACAAACCAACCAACCCACCCACAACACTGAAAGCATCCAGTGAGTTTCTCTGAAAGAATCTTAACATGAAAGCATCAGTTTACTTGGTGAGTTTGCAGGGGTCTTGCAGGTGAGTAGTGACTTGTAACTACTGTATAGAAACAATTTAATCATACTTTTGATTATTTGAAATCTACTTTTCTCTCCATGCTGACAGAACTAAAACCAAAAACATGAAATGGCATTCCTGCTTGATCTGCAGATACAAAGAAAAGGTATTCTACTCTCATACTTACTTTTGAATCATATGCTGACTGTTGAATAACTTCAGGGGCCATCCAAAACGGAGTTCCAACAAAGGTATTCCTCTTAATTTGTGTGTCTGTCAGCTGCCCAGCAACTCCAAAATCAGCAAGCTTAACATCGCCTTGTTCTGATAATAAGACATTGGCAGCTGCCAAGGGGAAATAATATCTAAATTAGAATGCTGCCCTTATGATTTTTAAAGGCTTTAACAAAGTAACATTTAAAATGTTACACACCTTTTATATCCCTGTGAATTTTCTTCTCTGAGTGTAGGTAGTCAAGACCTTTCAAGATTTCCTTTAGCATGGTAGCAATCTGGAACTCATCAAATGGGCCAGCACGCAGCTTTAGAGAAAAAACAATTTTGTATCTAATGTAATTAAATCAATAACAAGGCAAACATCTTAAGCTTGAAGTATTTTTTAAAGAACTAACAGGATTCATTAAATATTCAATGAAGTATGTCAACATTCTATCAGAAATAGGTGCCATTGGAATGATCACCTCTCCTCTACTGATAATACACTGAAAGTGCTGTTACTTTTCTAACATATACAGAGTAGGCACTCCCCTCAGAGTGCAATGCACATGAAAAGCTAGAACTAACTTTCCACAAATTCATAGCTTCCTATAGACAGCAAACACGGCAGACTGAATTTTGCATTTTAAATTAAGTGAATTAAGAAACTCAGTGTATTTCAAAATAAATCAGTCTATTGACTGTGGATTTTAAATCTAATGATGTGCTTTTTACCCGTCATTCCAGCATTTTTGATTCCATGCTTGCTTTTGCATCAAGAACAAAATGTGCTGCTATAAAGTTGCTAGTATGGAACAAGTGTAAATTTTGTGCATTAGAAAGCTATGCAAATAAAACAGAAGCAGCAAAGGTGGGTGATTCTGCTGTAAAAAACCCCACAACAATATGGCACTGAACACCATGAAATTATGGTATGGCAAAGTGAGACAAATGAGGCAAAACTTAAAAAGTTTTATTCTTCTAAAGGCTGAGCGGTTTCGATTGTCACTAGTAAAAGCTATTTCACTATTTCTGACACTCCACGGAAGACTATAAATTACTCAAAGTGTAAAAGAGTAGTACCTCACAGCACCCTTCTCAAGAAGACTATGTTCCAGAGCTACAAACTACTACAAGCTACACATAATTACTATGCTTTTGCATTCCTGCAGCTGAGTTGATGTGATGTAATTTCATAAAGAAGTTTAAATAGATTTGTGAAGTTAAGCACATACTTCAGCTCTTGCAGACAGGACCACTGCTAGCAAATATATAATTAACAACATTCTGTAATGCTGAAGACACAATATTTTCCCTTCAGAATCACACAAAGACTGGAGTTACATTATCTTACAGGAAAGGGTGGGTCTCTGCTTTACAGCTGAGGCAAAGTTATACTGAAAGTATGGGGAAACCACATCCACACACAGTGGACTGTGCTCCTGCACTCTCTAAGTTACATCCTTCATGAATGCTACACTATCTTAAGTAAAAGGCACTTTCATGCTCAACTGAAAATACCTGAAAATGGAAAACCCAACACCCTTTAACAAGTTAAAATTAGCTGTACTCTGTGGGCATACACTTCATTCATTCCTGAGAACCAGGCCCAAAGGAAACATGTTTTATTCAAGTGTAATAAATTCTATTGGAGGGAGAGGACAGGGGAAAGAGACAGCCCAAAACCCTACCACATATGGCAAGAACAGTACTTCTCATACTAAAAAAAAGAAAAAAAAAAGCCTTACATTTGACTGAGAACAAATGAATGCTTCCTAATGCTTAGAGACAAACAGTAAAAACAAAAAACCCAACATCAATTCAATACAACAGAACTACCATTCAAACTCACACTTTTTGGAGCATTACAATGTGTAATGTGTAGTAGTGATACAATATCAGTTGCCTCTAGGGACTAGATTTTATAAAGAGATATGAAAGCACAATGAAATAAGGTTCACTAGATTTTTATAGTGCAAAAAGAATACTTACAAGATCCAATGCTGACCCTCCACCCAAGTACTCCATTATTATCCATAGTTTTGTGCCCTGTAAAGGAAGGCATAAGTTGTTAGAGTCCAAGGCTAAAAAAAAAAAAAAAAAAAAATTATATTTCAATAGACTACCAGCATACTGTTAGGACAATTTAAATGCAGACTCTCATTAATCACCAAGTTACATGTAATTACTTCTTGTAGAATGATCACACAGCTCCTGTGCAAGATGTCTAAATATCAATTAAAGCTTGACTTCTGTATTTTAAAAAGCAACAAAACAACCTCACCACCACTCCCCTACCACCAATCATTCTCTGCTAAATGCTATCTAGGATTCCACCTAAAGGAATGGAACTTTGAGAAGAAAGTGATTTGGTGGTAGTTTAAGTTTAAACTGTTTTAATGTAAGGTTGTAATTATTACAAAAGACTGACTTTGCATTACAATTATTAATTCCATCCATTTGCGATACAGATGCATTACACGTTTAATAGGAAACTTCCTTGTAACATCACCACACCTCTCATCTGAGAATAATACTCAGAACTTAGAATTATTATTGAGCAAGAGAGTGAGAGTGAACATGTGTCAAAGACAACAGAAATTTAAAGCTTAATGGAGGTAGATGCTAGGTACCTCCTCTTCACCTACATGGTAACTGTGCAAGTGTTTACCTAACATGTCCACAAGCTCCAACATAAGTTGTCAGACCCAGCAAAAAGTGGGAACTGACAGCCCTTGAATATGCTTGTACCTAAGGACTTACATCCTAACGCACATGTCTGCTACCACAGGGTCAGCTCCGATCCTGAGATACAAAGCAGCACTACAACCACCAGCTTGGAGAAAAGGCACTGCCAAACCTGGAACCCTACAAAAGTGCTCAGGTTTCTGAAGCTTTCAGATCAGAAGACTGAAATTGGCCATTAAAAGATCAAAGCAATATAGTTTAATAAAAAGTACGACTTAAGTCTCCTGTCCTTTTTTTTTTTTAACGTTACTTCCAGTAAAATTGCAAAGTTCATGTACTCCTTCACTATATGCTATTTGAACCTCAACCCCTGTGAACACATGAGCTTCCGCACTTTCTTTGTGGAGATGTCTCAACCACTAGAATACTAGAATTCTTGTACTACTGATCTCAAGATGCTGACTTTGCCCTTGGTATGTAGCTGCAGAAAGTGGCTGTCTCACAGAAACAAAACTGGGAAGATCTGGTATCAGATCTAGACTATATGTTTCAAAACTGGGATCTTCTGGTATTTCCCCAGACTCCCCATCACATTTCAGAAGAAAACCAAATATTAATCTATGGCTAATACTCTTAAGAAATTCTGCAAATGAATTTTATTTTTTTTTTCTTCAAATAAAAATGTTATTTAAAATATTCAACTGAACCAGACCTGGTAAAGTACCACACAAGCTGTTTAAGTCTCCAGCAAATATTTACTAGTGCTAGTTCCTTATAACAGAGCACAAGCTTATGGCAGAAGTACTTTTTAAAGCCTCTTGCATTCTACGTTGTATGCTTTCCCACCCTATTGCCTAACTAGGGACAGAAATCTAAAGAAAACTCAACAAACAAATAAAGGTGCAGTTTCTGAAAGCACCACATCTAATTATCCCAACAAAGCGTGCTCTATTAGATTATACTGAATTTTAAAAACCCACAGCAATTTATGAGAGTCTATTCCAATATTATGAGATCAGCAGGAAAGGGCTGGCTAATTTTAGCAGTTTTTATAAAGCCCAACTTTGTCAGCTGAGAATATCTGCAAGGAACTCCAGTTTAAGACAAACATTGTGGTTACCAGACATGTTTGGAGGATTTGACTATTACTTGAAAACAGTATAGGGTGAAAATGAGTAAGTACTGTGTTTCTGAAATAATGTCTCAAAGAAATTGCTACTATCCACTGTAACCGGGTGTGGATATTTTCTAGCCAGGAGTGAACAACCTTTTTCCTAGCTATTTTAGGTCAATCAAGTATAAATAGAAAATGTAGAACAAACAGTATCTTTAGATTGTCCCAAAGCTTTGCTGCACAAAGTGCTGCACAATTCTGATGGAAGTCTCTGGATGCTGCCATAGTTCTCCATATTCAAATCTGAAAAACTGAGAATAACTTCAGGCTTGTTTTAATTGTAAAAGAGAAGAGCAAGCCCAGGTGGCTGTAATAAGTTACACAAGATACATATTGAAACCCTTAGCTAGATGGCACAAATAGGGAAAACAATAATGAAATTTTAGTCATCAAGAGAAGATCCATCTCTATGGGATCAGGTGGAAAGTACAGCTCAAGTACTTTATCAAGCTTCACAAATTAGCCTAACCAAAACATGCTAAGAACTAGCATAACTTTGAATACTTAAAATAATTTTCTTGCCTAAACTGATAAGGCAGGAATACATTTTAACAAGCCATTAGGCTTAAGGAAAACACTCATTTTAGTTAACATCACTTACACTGCTGCATTGCTATGCACTATCACTTTCAAAGGTACCCTCTACAACCAATGTTTTATTTATTGAGATGTGATGTTAATTACTATCAAAGTGCAACACAGGATGAGGAAACAAATTTAGATCCTGACCTTCCAAAATACGAACACCTACAGACTATGTCAGGATTTAAATTATCTTACAGCTACAGAAGTTGCATTAATACACCTGTAAGCTTGTACAATTCTACACGTGTTTGTGAAAGACACTATATAAACGTAAAACATTTTACTACCATACACAAATGTTGATTATTGTGCATTCTTTGATTACACATATATATATATACACACACACACACACATATATATATATCTATGCGCTTGTATATCAGCTATCAGGTATGTTTAGAAAACACTATTGAACTTGCCAGATACCCAATGAAAATTTAAGAAATAAACTACTAATATCTAAGCTCTAAGATTAATTCAGTGGGAAATTAATTCTAACTCCAAAACTCAAGACACATGCGTACCCCAAATTGCACTTTTTTGGGTTCATAATAACTGAAAAATGGCATCAGTCTTATCTCAAGAACCTCAAGGAAGTAGATGTTGCCATTTTGTACCAAAGATAAGGTTGTTAAAGAGCACAATATCTGAGAACAGACAAATAACATTGCACTGCTAGGTAAAAATATTAAGGGACTGTCCATATTTTTAAGATCACATTTACAAGTCAGATGTACAAACTGTAGCTAATGAGCAGCTAGGCTACAGAACAGAAGAGTATCTTACATGGCATCAGCTGAGCTGACTAAGTTACAAATTAGTAAGTCAAGTCATTGAAATAAAGACACTCTTCCCCTTCTCCATTGAAGCAGCAGGAGCATCTGGAAGAGCCTGCATGTAGCTGGGAAGCCCCAGGCTCCCTGAGACTGGGCCAGTCCATCCCAATCAGCCACAAGGCTGGCTTTGCATCCTGAGGTGTGAGGAAACTGTAAAGCTGCAGAGTATGTAGAACAGACTGTACAAAAATAAAATCTCTCAGCTGAAACGCTTGCAATTAGAAAACCCTCACAGTTAACTTATCTTCTTTCACATTTCAGTCATAAACAACTTTTAATTATCAAATATGCTGTCTTACTGGAGGAAAAATGGAAACTGACTACAAATTGATGACAAGAACCATCTGCTTATTCAAAGCTCAGTTAACTCTGGTTAAAAAAACAAGAATAAGTTACAACAGAACATGTTCCACTACAGTTCAACTGGATGAACTGAGGCACACATGAAAAACCTGAAGCCAAGACATGGTCTCAGCTGCAGTTCAAAGTAAAACCTATCAAATTTAAAGATTTAAAGCAGATCTAGATTACTCAACTAAGAAATATCACTAAGTGCTGTACGCAACCAGAATGACTTTGCACTGAGGGCTTGCTTTGGTATAATCAGGAAAATACTGTGTCTCTGATTTAAACAGTGCAAAACTCAGCTACATGTATGATTAATATATTTTAGTAAATTATTTCTATTCCATAAGTATGATCTGAAAGAGGGCAGACTGGCTCAACTGTTTTGCTTTCCTGTAAACAAAGATACAAAGGAGAAAACTCTTAAGTGTTGAGATACCTTCTATTTACTGTATGTTTATGTTCTTTTTAGCCACTATCTAAAAAGGTATTTCTAGGAATATTTTCAGTGATCTTTATATATGAAATTAAGTATTCATCAACAAACCTATGGGATCACTTTGAATGTGATCTTTGTACCAGTCATATACATAGCAAACTACTATTAATCTCTGCAGCCTAGAACTTTGCTTTGTAAGAAATGTCTTAATTTTCTGAATTTAACCTCAATGTTCTTAACCTTTAATTATACAGCCATTTGGTACACAATTGTACCTATTTCACTGCTTCCAAGAGATGTCTAGAGTATATAGAGAAATTAAATCCTGAATGAAGTACTACACAGCTAAATACTTAAACTGACAGCCATTCTCAGAGTAATAGCTAATAAAAAGTCAAAAGCTATAGCAATTAAGTAAAAAAAAAAAAAGTAGACAGGTACAACTCTCAAACTACCTGTTATTAGTACAATGAAAAGGCAGCATAAAAGATTCTTTGCACATTTAACAAAGCTAATACATTCTTTCCTCTGAGGAATCTCAAGGTGAAAGATCTAGTATTAGTAGGCAAGGATAAATCTAGCCTAAGAAAAATTTAGAGCCAAGATACTACTTAAACGGTTATTTATTTATTTTTTAATTACAGAACTGAACGTACTCCTTTATTTGTGGATGCTTTTATTCATTTACTTGGGGAACAGCAAGCAGTAGAACTACCTATCATGCTAATCTGGGATGAAAAACATTCCTGTGAACCTCATAGTTTTTTGGGTTCGGATTATTTTTTTTTTTAAAGAGGAATTTCTCAAAGGAATGTGAAAGTAACCAAAATTCCCCAAACACCTCCCCAAGCTCCACACACAGAAATTTTCCTTCCCCAAAAATATCAGAAGTGTGAAGAGTAAACACAAAGATCAGCATTAATCATTCAGAATTTATCAATTTTGAATAGAAATGGAAAGAATTCAATGGTGAGGAAAGTACTGCAGCATTAACATGATCCTATATTTGCCAGGAATTTTTAAAAAATAAAAGACCCTAACGAGAAGTTAATAGTTTTATAGCACTAATAGAATAACTATACTTACGTATCTAAGGGGTAAAAAGTGAAAGACTTGCATAATAAGGCCAAACTGGTGTGATGCTTGTGATACCTATGTTGCTGTAAATAATGGAAAGTCTATTTCCTTTCCCTATTCAATCCTTATAAAGCTTTTTCCACCCACCACCTCTCCAAAAAAATCCCCAAACAAACAAAAAACCCAAATAAACCTCCACCAAATTAAGGTTTCATTTCCCCATTTACAGCAGCTGAAATCACAGTTTAATTCTGAAATTTAAGAAAACACTTTTCCAAGCAAAAACACTTTCCAAGATTTACCTTGACCTGTTTGTACTTCAAGGCAAACAACTGAGCTTTTACAACACAAAGTTAAAACAATGGATACCCAGGAGGATAATATTTAGGACTTAGCTCATCACAAAAAATAAAGGACTGATCATATCTAGATCTGCAGTACCATTTATGCACTGCTCCAGAGGAACATTGCTAGCTGAATTCAAAGTTGTCTTGAGAAGAATCAGCTTGTTCTAATATACTATGATGCAGGAAAGCAAATTCTACTACATCTCAGAGTTCTATCACTAACAATCAAAACAAAAATCCCACTGATTGAGCCCAGTAACGAGAAGGAAAGCTGGGACATCAGTGACAGCTTGTGTGTTCACTTCAGCATGAAGAACCCACAGAATACTGAGTAACCAAGTAAACAACAAAGCCACCAATAGCCATCTTATCTTGGTCAAAATGAGAACTTAGTATTTGGAGTACAGAAACTTAAATTACCCACTTAGCATGAAAATACTAAAAATTGAATACTTCGGCAATTTAAGGAGGAAAAAAACCAAATCTACAAAGGACTCAACTAAATAAATTCTGCAAATACTTTTACAGTATCACTGAAAGGTACAGCACAAGTGACATTGGAACGTTTCTCAGAGATCTGCCTTTAGAATAATGACAAAAAATCCACTGTATCTTATGGAGTCAGAAATGCATGGGGAGGAAAAAAACCAAACAAACACCACACAAACTACCCCAAAACAACAAACTAATCCAAACCAAAGCAAACAAACAAAACCTAACCAACAACCACCCCCCCCCCAAACCAAACAAAAAACCCCAGACTATGGTTAATACTTCAGCTTCTATTAAATTTTACTTTTTTTAAAAAATCATCTAAAATATGCATGCATTGCAGATCATTTAAGCAATATTTAAGGTGATTATACCTAGACAGTTTTGTAAGTTGAAAAAACTTACTCAACATTTTGTATTTCTGTAGGTTTTCATTTTTGTTTGTTTTTAAAATGCCTTAGATAACATTTCACACAGTGGTTACATAACTCTGCTGATGTCAGTTTTACTTTGTCTCAGGCCTACTATGCTGCATAATTACTAACACATCTCTACACTGTGCAGGGTTTCTTCCCATACCAGAGAAAGGTTTCTGTTTCTATAGCTATGAAGGTATTTTTTTCTTCCCCAGAAAGGCCACAAAATTGTGCTAGGGACTGTGGAGGGAGGAGAGAAAACCAAGGTCCAAAATGATTAGGAATAGCAAGAGGAATCCTCTGTCAAATCTGTTCATTCTCTAGCTATTTGTGCAAATTCCAGCCTCAAAGAACAAGCAGCAAAAGGAGCAAAACAAAGTGAAAAGCTATGTTCAAAGAAAAACAAAAACCTACTAAAGAAAGGTCAGGCTGGCATAAGTCTTCCCCAATTTTAGAATTTTCTTTCAGTGGCATTCAAAATAACTATGTGCTAGCAAATCTTTGTGCAATAATATACATTACCTTTAAATATGATCCATAGTATTTTGTTACATAAGGACTATCACACTGACTTAAAACAGTTATCTCTTGCTGTATATCTTCTATTTCATCTTCTGCTTCTTCAAGGTCTATGATTTTTATAGCAACCACTTGCTGTGTCCGATTATCAATTCCTTTAAAGACTTCACCAAAGGAGCCTTTCCCAATGCGTTCCAGTTTTGTGAATAGTTCTTCTGGGTCTGCTCTATGGTTCTAGAAGAAAAAAAAGGAGAGTAAAAAAAAAAAAAAGATATATGAGTTACTTAATTTACTTCCAAGTTATTAGCCCTCATTACTTCCCAAGAAACACATCATCCACATTTATCATCACTAGAAGGCTCGCATCAGATAAATTTATTTCCTGCACACTAACTTCTAATCCAGCTATTAGTTACAGAACATACATTATGCAATTATGTCAAAGGTAAATGAGCCTCACCAGGGAGGGAGTCAGGTACAAACCTCATTTAATTTTGCCACATAACAACCCTTTAAAATGAAAGAATAGAGCTGTTCTTAATAATATTAGTATCTGTGCAGTGATTCAGAAGATGGGGGAATGCAATTACCGGCACAGAAGCACTAAGATCATCACCCAGGCAGAGGAGCCCGAGTTTCCTACCTAGCCAACAGCCTTGGGCAGACAAAGCATCCTATCAAGTAATGCAGCGTGGAGCTAGTTGTGAGAAGACTGCACTACCGGTATTCACCGCAGATTCTGAGACCTGGCAAGATCAGGTGTCTCCAGGGCAGCTACAAGTGCTGACAGAAAGCAGAGCAAAAGGGACTGAGACATGTTCAAAGAAGGAATAAGAAGGCTGGAGCAGAGTACTGAAACTAGGGTACTGATCAGGACTGGCTGGTATCACCCAAGCATGCCTTAAAAAGGGGAGCAGAGCACCAGGAAGCACAGCACCGCTGAGGACACCTGGCTTGGAATCTCTGTTGATTAACTCTTAAAATCAGCAGACTGATTATTACACAAATATTTTAAATTTCTCAGTTCCTTATTCAAGTAGCCACAAGGGAAACAAAAAGGAAGCAAATTCTCATTTTCCCTTAAAGTATGCTATGTGGCTGCTTAGAGAACCTTAGGTATCCAAAAACCACAGCAGTAACTTCTAAAGGATACAGGTGACTTGCTCCACAGTTTAAGAACACAAAACTTCAGACCATAGTTAGAAAGTTTACAGAAAAGTGGTTTTAGGAATTATGACAGACGTGCTAAGAGAACAGTCCATGCTTCGCAGAGAAACAGAATTAAACACATTACTGCTGTCAGAACTGGGCAACTCATTGCACAAATCAATCTCTAATCAAGAAACTTTTGCCAAAAAAAGCCCTCTGATTCAATAGCAACATTTGAAAATAGAAAAGAGATGCTTTTCTTCAGATCCTTCTTGCGCTACAGAACTCAGAATCAGCAGAAGTGACAGTTTTGGCAAAAGTAGACATTCAACCCAATGCACAGACTACCCCGCATAACAAAATACTCAAGTATCAACATGAAACTCCAGAAGACATCTTTACACTGGTGTTCTTGCAAATAAATGTGAAAATCTTTACTGGGGGAAAAAAAAAAATATATATATATATTACTTTAACCTAATCCAAAATGGACAGTCTCATCTTCTTACTGGGCCCTTATTGTCACTTCTTCCCTTCTACCAGAATCAGAATTCATTCCACAATATGGTGAGATGAATCAGGAAACAGATTTAGCTAGAGTTAACCATATGATTTGTCAGGTTTATTTTCAGCTAAATCAGTTCACTGCTCATATATACCAAGCTGTCATTTGTGTTATCGTAAGAGGAGGGAACATGAAGCGGTATGGCAGATTCATGCTGATCTGTGGAGTTAAGTTTTTAGATTTTGCAAATATACAAGACACACTGCTGTTCCTGAGCAGCACATTAAAGCAAAAAGAATGAGGAATTTCCCCTTTGTCTACAATGAGCTCGTTGCTACTCTGCTCCATTTAAAAAAAAAAAAAAAACCACAACCCCGGCAACACCTTCAGAGAAATAATTAAGCAAAAAATTCTGTATTTTCTTCTGTCGATAGATCCATTGAAAGATCTAGAAGACAGACATTATAGATAATCAAAGCAAATGAAAAAAAGAGAGGATGAATACTATTTGGTCTGAAATCTGGGACAATTAGTCTGGTAAAGAAAATGACTAAAGACTTCAGGTGATAATGACTTTACACTGGTAAAGAAAATGACTAAAGACTTCAGGTGCTCATAAAGGCTTTAGTTATACAGGGGAAAAAAAAAAGTACATCTTCAAACTGCCTGAAGATAGCCATATTGCCATACACTACTGCATCAGCTCCTGTGATCTCATCATCATTAAGACAAAAAAAAAAAAAAATCCAATTTAAAAAAAAAAAATATCTAAAAATCTATTTTCAGATGTTTCAAAAAAATTGTTGTAGGGACAGGTATGGCAAAGGCAGCAGCTACTGCCACCCAGCCTCTTCCTGCTGCTAGTTAAGCTGCCAAATTGTCATTTTGCTAGCAATCTAATGTGTTCCTAAATTACATTAGTTGCAATAAGGAAAAATTAACTAGTAGTTCTCCATTTACAATAAACAAAGATACACAACCCCAAGAAACAACAGAATTAACAGAGACGATTGGCAAAGCTTTTTGTTAACCCTAAAACACCCATCTTCACAAAAACTAGAGACACACTTGGAAGCTGGGATTCCAGGAATCATCCATGCTAACTAACAGCTATTGCTGATTTGAGATGAAACCTGTTAAACACCTCCAGACAGATAAAAGGAAAGCAATTTAATCACAGACATAGTCAGCTAATCCAACCCTTCACAAATGTTTGATGAACTCAAAGGGCAACACACTTGGGTTTTGCTTGGGGAGAAACCTTAAGCAGAAAATTCCTCAGAGCTCCTCAGTGGAAATGCATTTCAATCCTATACACCCACTTAACGGTCATCAAAACAAGCCAGGCCTCCAAACAATCTCCCCCAAGCTACTCCAGGTGAATCAGAGCTTTAAAGGCTATTCTAACTTCCAACAACTTGTAAGGCCATTACATGGGAGTGCTGGAGTACAGGGAGAGATCAGGCACTGCTGGACTTCCCAACCCTGTGGAAATCTATGCACATTCCTGGGAGGGAGAGGTGGAACTGAGGGGTATCAGAGGAGAACAAACCGTCTGAGAGTACTAGAGGAAAGAGTCACATCATTCTATTCTGAGAAAATCCTCTCACAGCAAGCAAAGTCAGCTTTACAGCTTCTGTTACTTGCCAAGGCTGACAAGGGACTCTAGGACACTCCAGGATAAGGGCAAATATTTCTGACCAACTATGGCTAGTATTGAGTCAACATCCTTTGGAAAAGCTTCAAACTTAGAACACTACACAACTTAAGACACAGCCTTAGAACAAAGACTGCATTTTGAAACCTTTTACCTTTCTTAATTTTCTTGTCTTTCAGACTATTATCCTACAGGAATGCTTTTCTGCAACTCATTAAAAAAAGAACAAAACAAAACACATTTATAAACAAAGGTAAATTTATATACTACAGTAATGCCTATCCTCATTCTCCTGGTATAGAAAAGGATAGAGATATATTTGACAAACAAAAGTGTGTATGTGTGTATACACACCCTCAATATATACCAATGCATTTTGCAGCACAGCTGCCAGCTAAGCATATTAAAAATATGACAGCAATTAAGATTTCCAGCACTATTAATGCTCCTGAGCAAAACCAATTGTTATTCTCTGTTCTTTCACAGATCTTTTATCGAATAGGAAAAAGGTTTAGAACCTCTGAAAGTTGCCTGCATGAATAACTGTGTTTAGTTTTGTTTTTAATAAATACGAGTTCGATAGGGGATAGGGAGTCGTGTCTGTTGGGGAGCAGATGGTAACACTATAACAGACAGTGTATGGACCCCATCATCACCTCTCCAAAGATAACACCTTTAAGTGGACAAATCAGGACGAGAACCTATTGCTCTTCCCCTCCCTAATCCCACTGCCTCAGACAAAAGCAGCAAGTATGACAAGCACAGGCACATTCACATGCCAACTTCAATCTCACCAGCATGAGTAACAGTACCAGTGCCAGCGTGACAATACAGGCCCTCTGCGTAACTTAGGAAGTCCACCATTTCACCAGTCCAGCACAACTATACAGCCTGCGCTGGTGTTCAGTAAAGTCTCTCCTCTCTTATCCAACCATGTGCCATTACAGCATGCGTTTATACATATATGTATGTACACATACAGAGTCACAGGATCATAACACAACTCAGCTTGGAAGGGACCTCAGGAGGTCATCTAGTCTTAACTGTCTGCTCAGGAGCCCCAAATAAAAACACCGTAGTATAATTTTTGCCAGCATACCTGTAGTAGTTTCAGGAAGCATTCTCTCAATACAGCTTATATTAGCACTTTCTTTTGACTCCAATAAACACAGGTACACAGCAACGTCCTGGCTCCATTCTGCTACATGACTGACTGGTTGACTCACCTTCCCACCTCTGACCCTTTCATGTACCTGTTCTCCAAATTCTGCACTCTTCCTTTGAAACAAAGTTGAAGTACACTGAATATCTAACTTCCAAGATTATACAGGTATCTAATGACATACTCCAAATCAGAAGAAACAGTATGTTAGATTGCTTCAGGATCTGTCAGTGCAAGACAGCTCTTTTACAGAAACAGGTCTTCTAAGAAGGACCATTAATGTATTTCATTAAAGGGTACGGAGTACAACTGGATGAAAAACTGAAGCTTCAAAGAATCTTGGGCAGAGACTAAACTAATGCTTTGTATCTAACAAAATCAATCAAACCCAGGATCCTCTAGATCTCCCAAAGCAAGTAACTTAACATAGTCTTGTGAGATTTTTTTCTAAGTAGTCTGTCAATATGAGAACACAGAAACAGTTAAGACAACAGGATATAAATGACCCATTTCTGACCCAGAAATGCTGTTATACTATCCAAATTTTCAAGCATGTCCCAGGTTTAATTCAGAACAGAAGTTCCCTTAAAACTGCAGCAGTACTACAGAATAGTTCCCCTACATTGGGAGACAATACACATCAGATAAAGATGCAGTAATTACCTCAAAAGATTTTATAAAAGGTTGGTAAGAGAAAAATAGAGTGTCTGCTGGTATGTTTTCAAGTATCCACTACTACAGCACTCTAACATGTACTGGTATCTTTGGAAGCCCTCAGAACTACCTGTGTTTAAAAGACTCTCATTTCAAGAAATTGCTCACTAAAAAAATCTGATCTTCATAGCCAGGGAGAAGTCAAAGATAAACTGTAATTAAAAGAGCTATCTTACAGAAAGGTTGAGGAAAAGGAGGTTATCACAAAATATTTAAAACAAAATCAAATCAAAACCAACCCACCTTCAAAAAAACACCCCAGTAATTAATTTGTTGTGCAGCCTCACAGTTACATTAGCATTAAAATGCCAGATCAGAAATGTATGCCAATTTTGTTGCTGAAGCCAGCATGTACTGCACCATTTCTCTTAAGTCCCACTGTCCACACTGTCTGAATTATGGCTAACAATAAAATTAAATAGCAGTTATAAGGCCTAGTTTATTATCTGTAAAATCTCTAAGATACCTTTTATTGTCTTAAGAATGAATACCTGAAATACAGTGAGTAAAAAAGACACTTGAAAGTCAGTAGAAGAAAAAACAGATTAAAAGTTAAGCCATTTCATCTGTTGTCCGCATTTATCTGACTTACAAAATACTTCATCTAGGTTAAACACATTGATATCACAGGTAATCAGTCCCTCCATAGACATTTACTTATTCTCAGATAATAAAGTACCTCTAAATTTTTATTCTGTTCAGAGCCCAATAAAAAAATGACACTAAGAGGGAATAAGATTGGTAAACCCAATAGGCTATGGAACATCTTAGAGGAATGTCTTAATCAACAGAGACATTATTCTTACTTAAGTATCTTTTAATACACTATCTGCATGTAGTTTCAGATATTTTTAATATATATAAGCATTAATTATACATCATGCATATTCTGTTATGTAACTATACCTTACACATACCTTATATATATTTCTGTATTTTATCTACATAAGGAACATTTTACTTCTTTACAACAAAGTCATCACAGGTAGTAATAGATTTTAATTCCTGGAGCTCCTACCCACCTCCCCCTGTCTAATTTATTTTTTTTTTAAATCCTATTACAATTACTCACACAAACAGTGCCATAGGCATGTGTGTGTATATGCATAAAAATTTAAATAGTTTGAAGTTAATGAAGGCACAGGTGCAGATTCATTATTACTTACAAAGAATCAGAAAAGAATGAACCTGCAGACATTCAAAACAAGGGTGGAACCTGCAGACATCTTTTTTCTCCTCTTATACACACATTCTTTATTCTCTGACTTCTGCCTGTTAACTAAACTCTGATGCTACCCTGCAGTCCTGTTCAAGACTCAAATATCAGGATAGTAGATATTTCATTATACTTACTGGAACTGTATGAGATACATGCTGAAGAAGAAAATTTTTTTAACAAGAAAACAATTTGATTTTATGAAGTATCCAACTTTTACATTATCAAGCTTTTCTACACAGTAGGCAGCAAAAACTAGACCTGAGCTTTGCTGTCCTTAAATGGGACCTGACCTCTGTTACACCCTTTATGAAACATCTCTCTTATCTGACAAGGCCAAGACTCATTGCCATTTTTAGTGAGAACCTGGAGAACTTCAATATACAATAAAAGCAAAAATAAGCAAGCAGAAAACTCACATGGCTTTGTTTTCATCGTCAGCCATAAGGCGAGCTGCTTGAAAATTCATATGACTATCAAAACTTTAAAATCAGCACTCAAACCCACCCATTCTCAGATTTTTAAGGAAAGAATCACCTTCATCTTCAAACATCTCTGACCTGTGGCAGATGTAAGCTGTCAACTGTATGTTGTGCTGAAAATGGAAACCACTGAACTCACTTCCTCTATTCTTAGCCATTCTTTCACTTTGGTAAGAAAACATGAAGTAACTTAAGAAACAGCATAAATAAGCAGAAAAAGAATACCAACACATCTCCTGAAGTTTACCTCTTCGACACAAGCAATTAAAAAAATTAACACCATTTTTTTTTATGAAGAGTATTCTGCTTTGAGGAAGGAAATACAAAGAGAAATTTCTCATGCCAATGAGCTTCTCTGTAACTGAATATCCTTACATTTCAAATGGATTCCCACTCAGGTTCCATTCTATGTATCAATACCTTTTAACCACCTAGTATCTTTAAAAAAAACCCAAAACCTCAAACCACTGCATACAGCTGCATATCCTTCAGTCTGCTCAGATCTCTGAGGAGCATGGCCTACTAAAAGAGCAGAGGAATTAAGGAGGGAGGTGGGCACAAATTATGTGGCCAGGCCTTACTATGATTTGAAAAATACTTAAGGGCTGAATGCTCTACAGCTAGAAGAAGGATGGACATTCTCTTTCAAAACAAATTTAAACTTTGTTGGACAGTGCAGGATAAGTGACTGCTGAATGGGTAATTAACCCATCTCAATGAACTAACTGCCCCTACCCCTGAATTAGAAATCAGAAGACAGAGGACTACTGTAATTTCTAACTGCTAAAGAACATATGTAATCTCTCCATTTCATGAATTGCTTTGAAAAAAAATCTGCAGAGAGATTACAAAAGTCACATCTAATAGGAATATGGAAAAAATAACCATTTATGGGCTGCAGCCTACTTTTAGCCGTATGCCTTTCAGCAAGCAGCCTAATTTATCAGTACACAAACAATTTTTTTTTATATTTGCCACACCCATTTAAAGGAACAACTACATCAAAACTCTGCCAGCAATAAACTGTATCATTATGGCATTTGGACCATTTTCCTAATATTTAGATGTGTGGTATCTACAGCTAAATGGCAACTGCTACGTAAGTTTTACAGACCTCCTCACTCCTCTATCTTAGAAGCCATTTCAGCATTTTCCAGCTCAAGTTAGAACTTAATACACAGATTTTCCTGCTGTAAATAAGATTAAACTCGTACTATAATCCAGCTGGAACAAAAATAACAACAAAATCCAGCTTTTTAACTTGCCAGTTCATAAACTAGAAAGCAGCAACAAGACCTCAAGTTTAACACACACAAAGTATCTTTGTTAAGTCTCTCCACTGAAGTAGTCATTACTTATTTTCAGGCTAAACAAAATTAAAGCAAGGCAGAAAAACACTAGTTGGAAAAGGATGGCTCCAAAACACAATGTAGGTTAAAGAGCAGGCCACAAGTTTATTCACCACAGATAAGTCTCCAGGCATAGTCGCTGCCTGTGATGAACCCCAAGTAAGAACCCACAGTTAGAGGATATCATGCCATTCCTTCCGCTTTGGTAGGGATCTTTTTGAGAAAGGAAGGCAAACACATCAGTTTACCAGAATCCTAGATTTCTGTTTGCTCCCCAAGGCTAGATGACCACAAGCTTGAAAGTTGTACTATTGAATACTGGGCCTTTGATCCTATCAATCATACTGGACCTGAAGCTACAAGAAACACACAATGAAAAACCAGAAATACAACTCCAAAATGAGCTACAAAGGAAGCAAGAAACCTACCCTGCCAGAATCAACCTGCCCGTTTCAGGAAACTCCTTTTTCAATTACTTTGCAGCTCATTCATAGCATGGCAAAGCATCTCATTATATAAAAGGCATGAGAAGGGGGGAGGGGAGGAGGAGAAACACCCTGAAAAAAAATTCAGATGCTTCTTGCCAGCTAGGCTAGAATAAAGCTGTGCAGGAATGTAAAAATGTTCTTGCTATGACCGGTTGCCAGATGACACCTTCCTAGGTGAGAGATCAACAACAAGATTATCTTGTTCCCCTCATAATTATCTATGTTTTTAATTGATTTATATCAGCATAAATTCAATCTTTTTCATTCAGTGTTTAACATTTAGGCACTTTACAACACTCATGGTCATTTCAAGTTGTACAGTGTTTTTATTATTCTGCATTCAACTCCCAATACAGAGGCCTGCATTGAAATACAACTTGACATCTAGCAAAGCATGGACACCCTCTGATCCCCCCCCAGTCAACATTATTCAAATATTCAGAACATGTAACAATACTCAGTTGAAAGGAAAGCCTGCAAAAGGCTTGGGGAGCAGAGAGGAAACACAAAAACCCCCCACATTCTTCAGGACTGAACACATGGCTCTTGATTTCTGGTTCATGAAAACAGTGAAGCCACCCTAGGCTCTCAGACTCCCCCTTCTACAGCTCAAGTGTGAAACCTGCAGATAACTTACACTTCTCATTCCTTGTTCTCCTTCATCGATGCATATAGAATTCATGCCGAACCAAGATAGATCACACCACAAAGCTTTTCCAGATATGCTGCCTCAATTAAGACCATTCAAATCCATATTTTGGCAAGACAAACTTGGCTTCACACTTCTAAGAGTTAACTATACAGTTCTTCAAAGCTCTCTTCATAAAGATCTAAGCTGAAGCCATGCACTTTCCCAAACTATGGACATAACCAATACAGCTTCTCTCTGCAAAACCACATGCACAAGATATGAGACCAGCAAACTACTGTTACCTTGTCAGTCCCTTTCTTAATAGTTTCTCTGAGTTCTTTTTGCCAGATTTATTTGGCTAGCAATCCCTCTGGCAGAATGGATTTCAGTGAGTATCACTAGATGGGCACCCTTCCCATGAGATTAAGTCTCTCCTTCAGAGCTAAAGAGTGTGCTCAGTGATCCTCATCTAATCAGCAGAACAGACTTGTTCCAGAAGAACTGCTGGAAGTTTAAATTTAAAGAACAAATGATAGTTCTTTAAATAGAGTAAAAACTACTGAGGCAGTATTAAGAACGAACTTGATTTTCAATTGTTGTATGTCAGGAAAAAAAAAAAGGATTTGGAACAGTGACTCCTGAAATGATAGATAGCTCACCAACTCTATTTCTACAAAGACAACATACATATAGCCACTAATTACAGCATGCCAGGAAATTATTTGTTATAGAAGAATTTCAAAACCAACTTTGTACTACTCATCTCTAACCCCACACCCCCCCCAACCCCATAGCTGAACTCCTCTGTCAATTATTAAATTCAGTCCCTAAGGATAAGTGAAAGACAAAACAATAGTCTCTTATCACTTTTCAGAGTTCATGACTCTTTCTTAAATCTGAAGGTGATCACCGAAGAGCAAACAAGTGGTACTTTTACTAACAGGTTTAAAATTCACACTTTCACTTTTGGGGATGACTGAAAATCAGATTTTCAGGATAGTGAAAACAATGAAAACTAAGACTAATACACTTGCCTATGTTCACTAGGATGTTTCATAGGTCTCATATGACAAATACTGCTGCAGAGGCACATTCAACCATATATACTCTTCACAGTCTGTCACAAAGTTACAACATATAAAGAAACAATCCTCCCCCCAAAAATAAGCATCTAAATGAAAAAATGGTTTCATTTTTTTAACAACAAATTGCAATATATTACTGAGCTACTACTTGCTATGTACTCTCCTTGAAGAAAAGAAGGGAAGAAAACCTTTCATCAGGACTTGTAAAGCTGAGACACTGGAGTCTAAAACCAAGTAGAATAAACACTACAGAATAAAGTAATAATTGCAGATCTTTAAAAGTTAAAAGTCTGTTTTCAGATGCAATGTTTTTACCTTCTGGGGGAAATTATTCTCTGCCCAAAACTGACAGTATATAATGGTACAGAACAGCAGAGAGATTAAGGTGAGAAGAATTCAGTTTGTTTTATGTGCTCTCTGCAGCTTCAGCAGATTTGCCTCTGAATTCCAGGTCAGTGCACTGAACGCATGTATAAAACTGTAAAATCTGCACAAAAAAATACTAGTAAAAGACTGCTGTGAATTTTTTCTTCTAATACCTACACAACTCAAGTGTACGAAACACTTTTCAGAGCTTGCTCTATCCTCCTCCGATGACAGTAAGTATGACTGAGCCCTACTTTTCTCTGTCATCAGAGTAACTTCATCACAATGCACAAGATTGAAGAACCAAGTTCAGCTAATACAGCCTGAGCTGAGTTAGCAGACTACTATTAGATATGATACAGCTTGTACATCAAGCATGACCAGGAAAGGAACAACCGCAGTGTTGAATTCCACAAATATTTTAATGCGTATCTGCTTCAAGAAGCAGAGACATGTCCTCCACACGTCTTAAAATACTATCTTCCTGCAGTTTGCCTGCACTGTGGCTCAAAGTACAAATTCAGGAACTGTATTCATCACTAAAACCTATCCTAGCTTAATCGTAAGAAATGCCTGTTTTCTAAGCACTGTGGAAGTCTCCTGGTGTCCTGCAAATTCTAGCCTTCCCAGTTTCCTTTAAGTGTCTCTCGATAACAAAAATTTAAAGTCTTTTCAAAATTACTGTGGAAGCATCTGGATACAGCTCAGTTCCTAGGAGAGGAATAAATTAACAGACTCTTGAATGGATCTTTCTTCAAAAGTTTAAGTTCCTCTAATGTTCACCCTCTAAACATTTAAGTATTTGATAGTAAAAGACTGCTTGCTCTTTTACAAGTCATATTCTTGTAACTACAACGTATAAGGTTTACTAGAAATCTAACATACTTCCAGACTAGCTTTAGGCACCACACATGAAGAATCCATTTCTACAGATGCACTAATTTAAGAGAAAATGGTTTGGGTTTTTTTTTTCTAGGTCTATAAAAAGACCACTTCCAAAACTAAATGCTACCTCTCCTGTAATCTTTCTATACCCATCCAATAAGCAGACGTTAACTGATCTGCCTCTGAGCATCCTGCAGGGAGAGACCTTCCAGCTGCCAGGCTCAGGTTGTTCAGTGAGCAGCAACCTACAGACAGTCTGTTAACTGGCTGCACAGAGAGCAAAGCTCAGCTTTACATCCAAGTTCCTATTTAATCAAGCAATCCTTCCATTGTGAATCGGAGTACACCGGCTGACAGGTCACATGCTTCTGGCCACTCTCCTTTTAGAGGAAGTTAGGCTCTTTATTGCAAGATAGTCTGAATGCCAATAAAAACAGATGGAGATCAGGTCTAAACAACCTTTCTGGCTGCACTCAAGACTAGTGCCATATAGGATTAGGAGATATCAACAAAGCCATGAGAAAGGAAACAAAAAGCATGTAGATGAGTAGGATAGCAGAGATAAAGAGAAATAAAGCCCCAAACCAGGTTCCAAAGATAACACATGCAGACAAGAAACGCAAATGAGAAGAAACATTTCCATTAATATTTCCCAGACGTAAGATTTTGCACAACAAATTATAATAAGAAAAGGGAAAGTTTATACATAAAAACTCTACCAGCTAAAAAAGGCATTTATTACTTGAGCGATGCTCCATTGCTGAAGTTTACAGACCAGTTTGGAAATTTAGGATGCTGAAAGACAAAAAAAATTTTCCTCACCTTAAAAAGGTCGATTGTTACTCACTCGTAAATTAACAGTTTCCAACCTCTTTTATTTGTGAAGAAGTTTTGGACTACTGTACAAGATGTTGCCAATAACCTAAGTTCATCAGAAATGCATAATTCTGAAGACACTGACATACTTTAAATTTTCTGATCACTTGAAAAAAACAACCCTCTGAACCATGCATCCTGCCTGCTGGGCAAGACAAAAGCAGTAGTACAGGACTACTCATAAGGGTTTCAAAACGTTCACACAGCTCTGTTTTCAGTACAGGCCCTGGGTTGGTAAAAGACACACATAGGCTCTAACATCTCTCTTGCAAGTCATATCCAGAAATGGTCTGTACAACTCCAACTGGACTCCTTGAAGATAGTGCCAGTGGACAAGTTTCTCACTGCAAGATCTCAAAGCATTCCAGGCTAAGGAATAGTTTGAATATTTTTATCCCGAGGAACAAAGTTCCAGTGACATTACTGAATAAAAACTCCAACCTGACAAACTCACTGCAAAGTCATGCAGACTCATTGCTTCATGTAACCAGGACACCTTATTTGTGCTGACATAGCTCCATCAGCTTTTCATTTTTCCCCTCTTGTCTTGGATTCTGTGTAAAATGCTCTAATTCGGGGTATCACAGTCAGCTTCAGAGCACCCATTTTACACATCCACTGCATACATGGATTTTATTGAATTGGCTCAGAAATTTGGCAACTGGGTAAGTTAACACCATACAATTAGATCAAGCGGAGCCCTTCCAAAGGAGTGAGGAAAATTAATGTGTTTAAGAAGTTGTTTGCACAGCCAAGAATTGTTAGGTACAAAATTTGGTTTTGTTAGGGGCACAAGACAGGTTAAACAGAATGCAACCACATAAACAAATGGTTCTGTAAATACTCATAAGGCCAACAGATAATACTAGCTCTGGGTCTTCCATTGTTGCCAGTGTACTGAAAGTCAGACTTGAATTTACCAAAATAACTCTACGTGACTTTCTGTATTTTTCCATGTTTGGATTTGTTTAAAGGGAACCTGACTTTTCTTAAGATGAAAGATCTTAAACAGCCAAAAAAGCTTCTGTTATACTTTGAAGAAAAACTGTCAGAGTGATCTTTCTGGGGTATAGGAATTATATAATAATTTCTGGATTTTTGTTGAGTTTTTTATAATTAAATGGGAGGGAAACCGTAAGATTACAATAAAACCAAAAACTTCAAACATTTAACGCATCCTTGGGCAAATTCAGTTTCCAACTGTTACATTCAATAAAATGCTTCCCTCAATACAGACTACAAAGCAAGGAGTTAGACATTAGAGGCACCTTCCCTCAGTGATAGTTTTAACCTATTAGATCTTCTTCCACTACAGAAGAATATGTTTATTCCTTCTTCAATCCATCACCATGCATTAACACTGAGCAGAAGCAGGAACGCTTTTATAATCACTTGAATGATCCTGACTGAACAGTTCAGATAGGTTTAAAAGAAAAAAAAAAGCAACCCTTACACCTCAGATTACTACACTCTTCCAGAACAGTTTGTTAGGTGTTTTTAATTTAAAAAAAACCCCTATATTATGACTCTTCTAAAAGAAGAGTCAGAAGAAAAATTATGCACCAAATTATATTTCTTTGTATTCTAAAGACTTTCAGGATTTGTGTAATAGTTTTCATTTTGAAAAAAAGTCACCAAGTGAAAACTGCATTTTAATTCTATGCAGCTGTACCTATCTAATAGTTAAAAAAATGCTTTAAACATACATATATATGTTAAGAGGTCTGGGTTAAACTAACAACAACACTATTAGAAGTAAGTATGTTATTACATAAAGTCTATTGGTATAACAATGGAAAACAGGACCTTAAATAATTTCAAGGTCCTTTTGTGATGACA